AACTGTATGAATATTTATAAAAAATCTGTTCTAATAAGAGTTATTGGTTTTGTTATCTTTGTTTTACAAAGGCATGATAATCCCTATCTAATAAATATATATTGATTTAACTAATTGTAATGGTTACAAGGTTTATACATTAAGATGGCAAATCAATTTATAAATCTTTTATTCAATTCTTCTTATCGCTTTAAGTATGTGCACACTGCACATTATAAAGGGTTTTCCTCAACCCCTACCCAATCCTCCTTAACTCACCCTCTTTCCTTGCCACTCCCCCTTACACTCCCACCCCTTACAATCCCTCATCTTCATGCCACTCCACCGTGCACGCCATCATCCCTTGCCACTACCCCATACACTCCCTCATTCCTTGCCATACCACTAGCACGCCCCCATATCTTGTTTCTCTCCCTTACACTCCCTCATCCCTTTCTACTCCCCATTAAATTACCTCATTCCTTATCACTTCCCCTTGCACTCCCTTATCCCTTTTCATTTCCTTTTACACTTCCCCATCCCTTGACACTCCCCCTAACACGCCCTTGTCCCTTGCCACTCCCCCTTACACCCCTTCATCCCTTGCTATACCCCCCTAACGCTCACGCTCTCATCCATTGCCACTCCCCCTTACGCCCCCTGTCACTCACGCTCTCTTTCCTTGCCACTCCCCTTTACACGCCCTCTTTCCTTGCCACTCCTCCTTACACGCCCCCATCACCAAGTTTTCCTGACTAATAATATGTCTGGTTGCAATGTCAAGGTTATGATGGATATAAAGAAGTATTTTATAAAAATAATAATAAACAAACTTTTCCATTAATTTACCTCAATATGGTTTATACAACAGACAGACAGACATACAGACAGAAAAGGGTAATAAATGAGTTTTTTACTGATGGAGGAGGGAGGGGATTACAATTGGATTTTCCCCTTATTAATAATAATAATAATAAGGGGAAAAAGACTGACAAAGTCAGCATTTTCAGTCACAAATTGTTTACGAATATTACAACTAAATGTGCCTACTCAATCTACTCAAAACAAATATTATTTACAAAATATTAAAATTCAGTTTTTGGCGCAGAAATTATTGTTTACCCAACAACAGTGACTGGTTACGCATTGTATTTAAAAACATGACGTAAAAATGCGTAAACATTACGCAGGAAGAATGATGTTTTTTGGTACTAAAAAGGACTTTTTAGTTTTTAATTTATTCTAGAAGTATGAATGTTTTTGTTGCTGTTTTAAAATAACAAATAGGCACCTTTTCTTCATTCATTTTGATATTAAAACATTTTCATTTTTGATTTTTCTTAGGAATTCATATTAGCTTAATTTGTCAAAAAACCAATTAGTTTCATGCGAAAAAATGAAAATTTGGTTTAAAAGTATAACAAAAAAGATTTTTTTAAAAGGTTGCATTTTTATGTTCAATTTTTTTTTCCTTGAGTATTAAAAATTAATTCTTTAAAACATGAATTCCTGTATATAAGAAATACAAAATTAAAGTTTATTTTCCAGATTTTAGATAAACCAAAAAACACCCAGTTTTTCAAACTTTAACAAATCAAACATTTTCTTTAAATCTGAAGTATAAAACAGACATGAAAAATACTTTTGTAATTCTTGTATCGTCTAGAAGAGGAAAATAAACAGAAAATAATTGAATAAAACAGCATAAAATGTTTCTCAAATTGATCCTAATTGACCCTTTACACAGGATTAAAGGATTAAAGTGTTCAGAAAACTTGGGAACAAATATTTAAAACGATCTCCAGGGTTTAATATACTTTCTTGAAAAATAAATTTAAGATCTTGAAAAAAAAACTAGTTTGAAAAAAGTAGCATTAAAAGTTGCAAAAAAAGTTTGACGGTGCAAGTCCCATTATAAATCTTTCTTTGACAGAATTAAAATGATTATTTTTAATAAAACTTAAATCACTAATTCAAAAATAGACTAAACACAAGATTTGTCTTCCTTAGTTGCGAAGCGTCTGAAATTCCTGTTGTCTGTGCTTTCAGTTTGACTAAGATTGAGCAATGTTTTCACAGGAATTCATTGCTTGTAAACTTCTCCCAATTTGTCCTAAAACATTCTTTAGAATTTTTTCAACCTGGCCTTCATCATCCTGTCCTTATAGTTACATTGTACTGTTTTATCCAAAAACTCTGCTGAAATTATCAAACAATAACCAACAAAATATTCCCGGATTTTTCGTTTAATTTCCTGGATTTTGATAAATCGAATCTTTTTTTTCGATTTCAATCGAAATTTTTTTTTTAGAAAATGTTGTTTTTTGCTTTTCAATTATAGGTTAAAGATTGAATCGTAGTGTTTCAAAAATCTCTCTCCCCTTAGCAAAAATTTTACATATTTTTTCTTCTTAATTCAGTTTATGATTTAAGCTTTTAAATATTGAACGGTAGACTGATAGACTATTTGATATGTCTAGATATTTTAGAACGGAATTGAATCCCCTAAAACGAAGTTTAATCTCCTAAAATGGAGTTTAATTTTAAAACATCGGTTTGCAATTAATTTCCCATCAGTGCCTTCAATCTTATGATGAGTTAAGATCTAGATTTTGAAGTGGATTTGTTCATAAAAAATAACAGTTGAGCTACGAAAAAATATTTATAATAATATTAATATATATTAAATCCTTGATATGCAATCATTTAATTAAAAAAATATGCATATTTATATATATGCAAAAGCATGAAAAAAATATCTGTATAATAATATTTATAAATATTAATCCTTTACATGCAATCATAAAATTAAAAAAAATATTTATATTTATATATATGCAAAAGTATGAAACAATTTTTAGATATGATACAAAAAATGTTAAAATAGTTGTTGATATATAAATATATCACTTGCAAATTTAGATTTTTAATGGTGTAATCAAGAAATAGATTTGATCGATGTACGTATGGGTTAAGCTCACAATTTAGGGAGTATATCTAAGGATGGGGGGGGGGAATCCTTAGGGGTAGGGCTGGGCACGTTCCAACTTTTAAATTCGTTCCGTTAAAGGTTAATTAAACAGCATTAGCAGCGCGCAAAATTTTGTTAACGGTTTATGAAATCGTTAACGGTGCCGCTGTTAATGGTCTATTACTGTAATAACGGCGTTCGCCGAGAAAAAATATCAAAACCCATAAAAAATATTAAGGCAAAAAATCCGTTTCGTTTTCGTTTTCAACCGTTAATTTTTTTCAAAATCGGCTAATCCGTTTCGTTAACGATTTAAAAATTAACGATTTTTGCCGTTCGTTAACTTACTCTTCTGTTAATTTTCGAAAACCTCCGTTTTGATAACGGAACTCTGCCCAGTCCTACTCTGGGGGTGGAAGAGGGGAATGTGGGAGGGTTATTTGAACTAAGAGGGGGGGGGTTCAATTAATGCTTATCTTATTAATTTATTGGGGAATCATCCATATTTGGAGACGGGAATCAAAATCAGGGATAGTTCAGGGTGATTTGGCTCATCATAAGGAACAAACAAAATTTGAGGTTGAAATAAAAAAACTCAAATGCAAGGTATAAAATAGAATTAAAGCCCCCCTCCCCGTCATTCCTCCTATTTCTCATTTACAGTAAAAATTTCAACTATTTAACTTCAGGATCGCATGTCCATGCAGTTCTAACAAGATAGATTTCATTCAAAACTTACAAGATACTGATTATTTGTATTAAACTCAAATTTTCAAATCCTTATATCTTTGCAATCTGATGTTTCAAATGTTTGATATTTGATCAGACCAAAATTCATAGTTTGAAATATCAAAGGTCTCCCACATTAGGTTGCAAGGATTTAAATGTATGAAAATGATAGTTTGGGAAGAGTGAACAGTCTAATTTCAAGATATTCGGGCGTAGTTTGAAGATTGAAGACGGATTAAATCATTAATCCCGGTTTCAATCCTGTTTAATCCTTTTATTAAGGGTCGTGTGAAAACTCGACTTCTCAAGATTTAGGGAATATTAATAAAAGGGAGTGTAGACATAATTTCAAATGATCCTCTATTTACAGAGTGGCATATTAGATTCGGTAGTTGAAGATTCCGGGATTAGACAAAGATGTTTCGGGACCTTTGTGAATCATACATGCCATTCTTTGTGTGATGGTTGCTTGAAATTACGTTAACATGTCTCTTTCTTTAATTGACATGCACATGAGCACTGGAAATCATGTCATTACGTAAAATGGTTAGGCGGGGGTAGCACGAGTAGAGACGAAGTAAGAAGGATGGAGAAACCAAGCGTAAAACCGCTAAACATACAATTCAACAAAATCCGGGAAAATAATCTGTTCTAACTGTACACTGTACAAGGTGCAGCTCGACACAGGAGAAATCTCCACAAGGCGGAAAGATAGATCAAATTGAAAGCGTGCAAAATGTTTGATGAGCAAAGGGCCACGAACTGTGCAAATTAGCGTGGAAGAAAAGTGTGATTATCTTGAGTGCAAAAATGCCGGAAAGATATTAGATCTGAACACAGGAAACCCTATACTACCAGAAGCTGACATCAAAATTTAATTTTACTCTTGGTTTTTATACTGTCTTAATTTACTCATATTTACATTTTCCACCCCTTTTATGCAACTTCAGAATAACTTGATTTAAAATATAATTTTAAAGTAATTAATATTTATAATAATTCTATAGTTTATTTAACTTTTTCGGCTTAGACATATTTGCAGTTTTTTTAAAGAAAAACGCCAATTCTTTCCATCTCTTTAATTGTTAATGCAATTTAAAATGCCCCTTTAATGACGATATGTTTGTCGTCGAAATCCGCAAGTCACTCGCATAAAAATCTACGCAATTATAAATTTTGATAAAAAAAATTTTTGAAAATTCGTCATGTAATTAATTGTTTTTTTTTTCTTCCAAAAAGTTTCCCCTTTAATTATTATAATTTCACCCCTCTTTTATTTTTTTATTAATCAGCTTAGATGGTAAATATTATCAAGAGAACCTAGAAATATAATCAAGAGAAACCTAGAAATATTATCAAGAGAAACCTAGAAATATTATCAAGAGAAACCTAGGTTTGAATGATGACAGGAAATTAATTATCCTAAGGTTCATTTCAGAATACTTAACAGCAATCTTTAATTAAACAAATTAAACAGAATTTCTGCCAAAAAATTCTTTGTTTAAAAGATATTCAAACAGATGTGTAAAATTCAACCGCTAACCATTTAGGCGTGGGAAAATGTTTTTTTTTTTGCAAAGTTTTGTCAAAATGTAATAATTTTAATGCAAAATAATTCCAGGATTGTTTTTATGATTTAAGGTGGGAGTATACAATATTTTCCTATCTGCTATTTTTCTGTAGCTATCATGCAATGCAACGCAAACAATGAAAACCATAAAAATTGTGCTAAATATCCTATTCACTTTTACTTTCATCGAACATTAGATTTTGTTTTTCATTGGACATTAGATTTTTTTTTTCAATTGGACATTTATAGATTTTGTTATTTTCATTAGACATTAGATTTTGTTTTTCATTGGACATTAGATATTGTTTATCATTGGACATTAGATTTTGTTTTTCATTGGACATTAGATTTTGTTTTTCATTAGACATTAGATTTTGTTTTTCATTGGACATTAGATATTGTTATTTTCATTGGACATTAGATATTGTTATTTTCATTGGACATTAGAAATTGATACTTTTTAAATTTATATTTTATTGATTATTGCAATTATAGTTATTTTTATCCTTTTCTAAAATTAACAGCTGTATCTATTCTTTCTTGTGAGTCCAGCATGTCGGGGGCGGGGGGTAATAAGGTGGAAAATATTAACTGTTTTCTATTAGCAACAGGGGGTATAAGAGGGTGTCTGTTTCTATATATATATATATATTTCTATACCATCTGGTTTACTTCCTTCCTCACTACAATAAATATTGTTAATGGATACTTTATTTGCATGATTTCTCTTTCTTTATTCAAAATTTATTCTAAACAATTTTTTTTAGTTTTTTTTCCAGATCAAATCATGATTTATCTCTGTATTTTTAGCTTTAAAGTTGATAGGTTCATTTTCATAAGACACCTCCTACTTGCTTAAAACTAAATTTTCTTTGCAATATAATAGTTTAAACATTCAATATTTTATCTCTCAATTATTTAATCTAGTAGAATTTAAAATTTGAAAATTTTCAAATATTTTTAGGGGATTTGTAATGAAGGTTTTTGTTTTGTAAGAACAAGTATGGAGTAAACTAAATGACGACAATTAAATGTTTTAACTGGTTTACGTTGTGTACGTGTTTCCTATACTACATACCAATCATGATTTAAAAAAGAAAGTCGAATCATTTTAAATAAATTGTTTAAGACTTTAAAAGATCAATTTCCGATCGGATGGTTTTGATGGTACATAACAACAGTTTTAAGTTGGCGTTTATGTAATTAACATTCTTTAAGGCTCAAAAACCAGGTCCTTAAAGGGAATATAGACAAGATTTTAGAGTTGTATAAGAGCATGTCCGATTTACAACGGTTCATGTGATATCTATGTTTTTCTCTTTGGAAATTTGATTTCTCTACAAAAGTGCAACTTGTGAATTTAATATACAGAAGCAAGGAAGTTAATTGTTAAAAGTAAATACGTTAGAAACTAGAACAAACCCCATTATTGATGAGACAAAAGTTAAAAGTACTACGTTTACAGTCCCTTTAAACAGATATATTTGACCCTAAAAAGACAATATTGACTCAAATCTTCCACACCTTGAAATAAACGCCAATTATACTGATGGATGAGTTTAAATATGAACTTAAGGGATGAAATACAAATGAAGAATTTATCCTAATGGTGTTACTTTTGTCACTGCCTTCTCTCCTAATTCCTTCTCCTTTTCATTTCAAATATCTTTCCTACTGTTTTTTATTAAATGAGTATTTTTCACATACTCAAATTTTCTAATCCCTATACCTTGGTAACCTGATATGATGGTGTAGGCCTTGGATATTTCAAACTTAGATTATTTAATCTAAAAGAATTCATAATTTGAAATATATAAGGTATATTTGACATTGGTTTGCAAAGATATAGGGATTAGAAAATCAGAATTAGTAGTAAAGACTTGATTCCTTTGTAAACAAGTATGCAATGTAAGTGAAGTGGACCCTCAAATGGAAGGTTGACAGCAAAGATTGATAAAAGTTTCAGGCATGGGTCTTTTAAGGAATATATATTGTAAATCGTTGATGAGTCCCTTTAATTTAATATTACGTTGACAGTCCCTTTAACAAGAATATCCTGGTGAAATTCCTGACTTGATAAAGATGCCAGACCTTAATGAAACTTCCTGAATTATTGTTTTTTCCCCAGGTCAAGCGGGGGAAATATTTCAGGGGGAATTAGTTTTCCCCCACTCATCTCTATCCCACTTTTGTTTAAACTTTACTTTCACACTTTCTTTTCTCGCCTTTTTTAAAAATAAACAGCTTGGACACATTCAGTGATAACCAGAAAACAATGGAATAGGAAGACTACATTATGTCAATACTTTTATAGTGTATTTAATGTTGTTACTTTAGACACTTATTTAATCACTAATTTCGTAAAATGGGTCTGTTTTCATTGCCCAATTGCTGTGTTTCGTGCTCATCAGTTTTTTAAAGTTAAACCTTGATTCTTGTCTTCCTATTTCAGAGTTTTCTGGTTATCACTATAAAAATTATTTTTATTAATGAGAGAAATAGAGAAATAAAAAATGTATGAATAAAAATCTTTTTTGTCTGTTTTTACACCCTTTAACGTCACATTGTTTCGTTCTACTAAATCAAATTTTAAGATATGCAAAAGTTAACGCTTCTAATTTTTCAGCCATTTTCCACGGTTGAATCCAGGTTTAATGCTTTGCATTTGATAATAGTTAAGTAACTATCTAACAATCTATCTATCTGTATATTTACCAAGTTATCCCTTTATTTTATTCTCTTCGTGTATGTTTTAACTGAAAGTTTTTGAATATTTTGAACATAACTCATAACTTTCAAACTTGAAAACTTACACATTTCTTAAGATAAATATTCTCTCATATATAAAACAGATATTTTATAGAAGCTGATTAAAGTGGATCTGTAGCTAATAATCTGTTTATAGCTGCTGTAAAGCACTGATTTACTACAGCAGATCTTAGAAAGCTGATCAGAACTTATATTCAAAAGTTGATTAAAGCAGTGATGTAAGTTGATTTTTAGTCGCTAATTATTTTATATAAATAACAGCTGATTATGGCAAATACACAATAACTGATTAGAGTTGATATGAAAGCTGATTTCTAGTTGCTGATTATTGTAGGTAAATGACAGGTGAATGGGGGATATTTGTATTTGTCAGTGGAGTTAAAATAATAGATCTTATTACAACTTTCCTTCCAGGGGGGGGGTGGCCCGGGGTGTAGCCCCAGGAAGGATAGGGTTGTCATATCTGTGGGGGAGGGATTTTGGCCCTTAAAGGGCGGAAGTTTGCTATGGATAGATAATAGAACAGATTTGGGAATATTTGGGAGGATTTGCCAATATTTGAGGAACAACTTTTTTTACTTTTTATCATGTCATATTCGAATGAAATTTTTTACTAAATATTGTGAATTGCACTTAAAATTATTCAGTGAAATGTGGCCGGAAGAAATATTATATTACGTCTATCAATCTATTCTAACAGCTTTAAGAATGCAATTAGTCATGCACATGGCATTCTATACATTTATGCATAAGTATTTTTGCAATTTATTTCTGGAAAAGTATTCTGATTTGTGATAGTTTGAAACATGTCGGGAATCATGTTTTTTGGGATGTCGGAGCTGGAGAGAAAACTTCCGGACCCGGATAAGTCCAGGGCGGATTCACCAGACTCTGGTGGTGGAGGATATTTCACCCTATCTGACTCTGATCTTGGAGCAGATTCACCCCAAGAAGAAGAGATCACTAAATCCAACACCCTTTACAAAATGTTTCGTATTAGCAATGGACAGTTCAGGTCCAAGAGCAATGATAATGGAGTGGGCTCTGAGAAGAAATCCAGTTTACGAAGCCGAAGTGAAACTCCCAGTCGGCTTTCAAGCAATGACACACATAAACGTTCATCACCACCTAAAGATATCCCTAAAAAATCGACACCACCCCGCCCCAATCCTCCAAAATCTTCTATGAAAGTAAAATCGCAGAAATGTGAAGAGGATGCCCCACCTCGACCCCCGCCCCCAATATCCTATACCTCTACTCTACCACCACCAGTTCCTAAGAAAATAGGAAAGGTCAATTCTAAGTATAACTCTAAAACACTGCCAGCCAGAAGAGTAAATGCACCCAAACAGAAGCCGTTGCAGAAAGTTGCCCCACTTCAGGTTTCAAGATTTAAAAAAATATTTTAATTTTCAATTTCATTTATTTTTAATAATTGTTTAATCCTAGATGCAGTCACCTTCAATGCTAGAGGCCTTAAGGAATCCTAAGATTTATAAAAACTTATATCAAGATTGACATTAAGACACCCCGCCCCCCACTGTTTCCTAAGGTTATAGATAATAAAGGATATCTTAGTTTTCTTGCTGGTGGGAATTTCTCATTAGAAATTAGTTTCATGTCCGAGTGCACACAAAAATTCTGTCCAAGCCTACACAATAATATGTCACAACTCACAGAAAGATCATGTTAAAGCAAGTGTAATAATAATAACTAAGCCACACAAAGATCTCATCCAAGCAAACTCAAAGATCATGATAAAGTATTTATTGACATAAGATGGCCAAGTGCAATAAATATTTATGTCATAGCACCCTTAGAGATTGTGTCTGAGTACCTTCACATATCATGTTCAAGCACATGTATAGATTAAGTTCTAGCACAAAAAAAAATAATATTTATTGTCCATGCATAAACAATATATCAAGTTTGATAGAACCTAAAGACCATGTAAAATTAAACACATGAATATCATGCCCACAGAAAGATCATGTTCAAGTTCAAATAAAGCCAGCGACAATTTTGATTGTCTATTGATCTTTTAGTGCATGCAAATATCCTTTTATGGCACAGCCAAAATCATATCATATAGCACTGCACAATGATCATGTCAAAGTAAACACAAAGATACTGTTTAAGTACAGACAAAGATTGAAGGATTTATTTTAGAAAGACTCCGTGTGCAGACATTATTCATGGACATTCTTCAAGTGATGAATGTGTCCTGTCTTCCCTTGATACTCAAGATTTAGAATTTACACAAGGTCCAGCATTTTATTTTGTTTAAAAATACTTTTTGAACCTTTTCCCCTCGAAAATATTAGAGGTCAAATTTTTATTGCCCAACACATTAAATTGGTTTAAAATTTGGTTTATTAATAGTAAAATAGTTGATCCTCTCAGTAAAGGTTAAGAAACTACATATTTAAAAGAAGGATGGAAAATCTTTGAGTGGAACAAATCATTTAATGGGATAATTGAAATCCCTTTTTTATTACCATAATAACATTGTTAAAGTATTCTTATGCAATTTATGGCCTGAATTTCCTGCCCTCAACACTTGACAAGCATTTAAAGAATTTGATATAATTTCATTCTACAGCCTGCCAAGTTCTATTCTTTTCAAAATTACGGCCTGTTTTCAGCATTTATATGCACAAGTTACATTGAACTGAAATTGTGCTGCAATCAGATTTGAACAGATCAAAGCCGTCTTTTGAAAGTTATCAAACACCCCCTTCCCCTTCTGTTGATCAACAAACCTTTCTCACAACATTTCAGAAAGCACAGGAAAACTTCAAATGAAAATTAGATTACATGTTCTCAGATTTCTAATGATAACTGTTAAATGACAAGCAAAAAGTTGAGTAAGAACAGGTCTCATCCTGAAATTAGATTTTCATTTGAATATTTGTACAGAAACATAAACCTGTTAACTCTCTTGAGCAGATTGGAGAACCTACTGCAAAACTTGACCTGTCACCTAAAAATCTGCCCACAATTCCAAAAAAGAAATCTCCTCCCAGAAATGCTCAAAGAACTCCAATTGTGAAAACAGCAAGAAGCCTTTCCATTACAGAGGAAAAAATCAAGTCCCCGCCTCTTAGCAGTGTTGAGAAGAATAGACGGTCCAATTCTCTAGGGGTTGTGAGTAAGAGAGAAACATTGAATTCTAAACAGTCTGCAAATGAATTATCACAGAAGAAATCTGTAGCAGTTGCAAGATCATCATCATCATCCTCAGACTCCTCTAAAAAATCATCACCTTCCACCTCAAGCTATCTGAGGAAAACTCCGAAAGAAAATCGGAAGACGGTTCCACAGGTTCAAAAGCCTATTAAAGTTGCTTCTGAATCACTTGCTCAGAGAGCAAAGTCCTCATCAGAAGAAAGAATTAACAAATTCAGAAAGAACCTAACAAAATCTAATTCTGGTTCTGATGACAGATTTAAAAGAAAATCAAGCACAGCTTCAGAATCTGACAGAGATTCAATAAGAAGTGCAAGAGTAAGTCGTTCTTCATCAATATCCAGTGAAGCATCTGTAAAATCAAAGTCTCCGGTAAAATCTAAAAGTGTTCCTCCAAGCAGCTCAAAATCTACGACTAAAATAACTAAACCTGAAGCAGCAAAGCTTGAAGGGAAGCCTAAAAAACTATTTCCTCGCAATCCCATTCAGAACCTAATAAAATTTTATGAAAGCAGTGACAAGCCACAGAAAACTGATCATTTGGAAGTAAAGTCATCAAATGGTGACTCTAAACATCCTGTTGTACTTGAGGATAAGTATAACAAAGTTCTGTTCCATCGTGGAAGCAGTCCAACGCCTTCACTAGCAAGTTGGTCTCCCTCTATTGAGAGTTCAGTTTTCAGTACAGATTCAACAAGGAATCATATTCTGAAATATTCAGATTGATTTGAAAAATTTAAAATTTTATAGAAAGTGTAAGACAAAGTATTAATTATTTTGAGATTCACAGAACATGAATTTTCAGCTTAAGTCCTAGTTTGGGACGACTGAGTCTTCTAAGTCAAGAGCGACAACTTGAAGCATGGCTTAGCAGTCCACTTCAATCAATTGTTCATACTAGGAAAAACAAAACTTTGAAACTTTACACAAGCATTTTAGAAAATATAAAAATGTCATTAAACACAATATTTTTTTTACTTCATATTGTTAAAATGTTTTGTTACAGTGATATGAGCTTGACAGAGATTGACATATTAGATCAATGTATTACTGATCTAATTATTAACACTCAGGAAAGCAAAGAAATTATTTTAAGCACATCATGATAGCCCTTTGGGTTCAAGGCTTTATATTATTTTATCATGATAGCCCTTTGGGTTCAAGGCTTTAAATTATTTTATCATAATAGCCCTTTGGGTTCAAGGCTTTAAATGAAAATATGTTTAGTATTTTTTATTTTTCTCAAAATATTTTACTTTGCCTTTAGGATATTAAACCTCCAACCTCACTTCAGCATGAAAAGGTTAAAGTTCATTTGTTGAAAATAAAATTGTTATCAAAAAAGCAGCTTCAAATAATTTCTTATTCCTAATTCTTCACGCTTCTCTGAAGCAATTAAATATCCTCTTTCCTTATTGTACTTATCCAGAACATTTTTTATTTTTTTAGAAAGCTTTGTGTTTTTATTTAAAATTTTCAAAAAATATTGTCAAATCCAGTTCCTTTTAACCCCCCTTCCCCTTCCCCCTCCCAGGTGAAATAAGGTTAATAATTTTTTCCTCAAATTAATAAAACAAAATGAATTTTGCCTCAGAGCCTGTTCAACCCTGAGGACCTGGTTACAATTTTAGATTATCACAAGCGAAGGTTCAAATATTATTGAAATAAAATATTGTGTGCACTTCAAATGGGTCCAAATCAACTCAATTTAGTGGGGAGAAAAGTAGTTACAAAAAATTTAACCTTTTTTAAAAATTTTTTCATCATCCTTTTTTAACTAGGATGTATTTTTTTTATTTGTAATAATATTGACCCTCAGATCAAGTAATGATGATCTTAAGTCTTCACTTCAAACTGTTATTGACTTTGTGGAAGCTAAACAAACTGATCTCAAAACAAATTCCCCAATCAACCAGACACCCAAACCTAGTTTGATCAAGGAGAATAAATCTAAAGCCAAGTTTGAAGAGCAGCAGATCAAGATCAAGCATGAACCTACTGAAGATGATCTTAAACATGGTTGTTTTACAGATGTATCCTTTGCAGGCACATTTGCTAGTGCACAACCTGAAGAGACTTTCAAGGGATGCAAAAATTAGCAACATTTTTTAAATCTATATCTTAATTTTGCATAAATTTGAAGAACATTTTTTTAAAGATTACTAAAGAGAATTTTTGTTTCATTAGCATGGATGCTTTACCGAGGTTTCATTTGCTGGAACTTTTGCTCAAAAATCTTTGGAGAGTGTTCAAGCAACTCAGTCCGTTGAAAACTCTCATACACTGATAGAACCATCTGCAGTTACAGTCAATAAGGAATTGTAAACTGTCAAATTCTGGTTTCTAATTCCATGATTGTTCTTTCAGTTTTATGTTTGTTAATTACAATTTCATAATTACTTTCCAATATTATCAATAATCTGCATTAACAATGAAATTGAAAAAGTTTATTGTTTAAAATAGATAGATAAAGTTTCTAATTATTTAATGTCAGGTGTTCTTTTTTTAATATCAACAATTGATATAAATATGAAGTTAAAATCCCCAGAAACAAGCTTTTTTACAGCTGTCTCTATATTTTTGACTGTTTTAATAATTTGTAGGTAAAAGTAAAGACCCTAGAACGTGACCATGTAAAACCCCAATTTTCCGGAAAGAACACAGAAGAGATCAAGATTAAATCTAGAAAATCTAAAGAAGATTGTTCCATACAGAACACTGCAGAAACATTACATAGTTCAGAAAATTCAGATCTCGTCCAGAGTCCAGAAGATATTCCCTGTCCTAGCCCCCGAGTAAAGAAAAGAGCTCGAAAAGAGCATCTCCTTCAGCAACATAAACTCTTTGGAAAACATGTGCTAGATAGGATAACACAGGAAACACAGGAAACCTATTAATAACAATAAACTGAAATAAATTACCTTGTTTTGTAATCTTTGGCAACATGCTGTTACCTTTTCATATTGATGCTTTTTGTTACTTGCGACATTTTATAATTTTGGGCATTTCGAACCTTTGGGAGTTTGTATTGCGCGTTTTGCAAGAGTAAGATTTTATTAATATTAATATCTATCAGGAGAAAGATACGGAAGATTTTAAAGCCAAGTCCTATGATGCCATTACAGGACTAGATGATCTTCTCAATGATCTTGTTGATCACTCAGAATCCATCAAACGCAATGTGAACGAACGGCAATCATGTACAAGTGCCGAAATAAGTGAACCAAGATTAAGTAATCAAAATATATGTGACCAGAATGAAATTCAGGTCAAAACTGAAAATGTTAAAAATTCTGGATTAAAAAACAATAAAAAGGTAGGAAATTGGTCTTTACAATTTACATATTTATATTATTATCAAATTTTATTATAGGATTTGGACTCATTAAGTCTTTATTGGCATGCACTAAACTTAAGGTCAACTGCAGAAGGATGCATGTATTTTAGTACATAGATATTTACTGCATTTCCTAATATTGGTTTTGGTTTTAATTAGGGGGTAATTATAACTTTACTAACCCCCCCCCCACATAATCATATTCCCACCACTCATTATCTCCACCCCCCCCCCCCTCATACACAGTACACACACTTCAAAATACTTAGAAAATAAATTATGATTGATATGACACCTTCTAACTGTATTTCCGCAAACGTAGCATTTATACTAATTTATACATCAGATATTATAATCTTGAGCATGTTATCATATTAGGTTATATTATTACATAAATAAACAATTTTATAGAATTATCGTACATGAATAATTATTAATGTTCCTTATTTATTTTTAGGTATGTACAAAAGTGTTTTCTAAACGAACCATTGCTTTTTTTTCATATAAAATTGGAGGGTGGTAAGTTTTGTGAAGTACAAGGATACCTATAAAAGATGAGTCTCTACTTTCTTACAGTCATGCTTTAAAGGAATTAAGTCTTTGCCACAAACTCTGATTCTAATCCCTAAATATTTGCAACCCAACGTCGTAGATCTTAGATATTTCAGACGGTGAATTCTGTTAGTTCGAATAATCTAAGTTTGAAATATCAAAGGTTTACACAATCATGTTGCAAAGATAAAAGGATTAGGAAATTTGGATTTGCGGCAAAGACTCAATTACTTTGTTTTTTTGCAAAACCAATAATTTTAACTTTAAAAGTTAATTCTCAGGACAGGAGACCGAATCCAATCTTCTGATTTTCATATTAAAATATTCAAATCTTTTATTACTTTTCTGTTATCCCTTTAGACATTTTTCTATTGTTGTATGTATGTTTTACAATAACGTACATATAAGAATATATTGTATGTATACATATTACATACAATACAATATACTTACTCATTTAATAAATGCATCATCTACTACAAATGCTTAATTATGCACAATATTCTTATTAATAAAATTTCTGAGCAAAATTAAAAGTATGAGCTATAAAAACTCTTTCATCATAGTGGGTTAAGAAGTGGGTTGTTTGTGTTTGATTCGTCATGTTGACGAAACATTTGGTGCAGTTTTAAAATTATGTTTACGGCATTTTTTAACACTTAAAGTATTATGAATTTTTGGCAATCCACGAATTTCTGTTTAAATTCAATTATCTTTTTTGGTTTATAATATATCACTCAAAGTTTAAAGATAAAAATCAAAATAAAATTTTTCAAGTTTTTTTTAAACGCCTAGTTTCTATATTTTTTAATTTATTCTGCTCATTTGGGTAATATCTAGACATTTAAACAATCACAGATCAAATCCTTTGTGTATCCTATAAAACTCTTTATTCAACAGGTGAAAATGGGTTCTATAGTCAAACCTGGACCCCCAATATAACGTGAATTAGATATCATAAAAGTGCATTTCAAATCTATTTCAGAATTTTCATACCATGCTCTGCTTCCGTCAGATTTTTGCACGGCACCTTTTAGAAATTTCAACAAAAAATTGCGAATTTTTACAAAAAAATGGAAAGTTACTTTTGTTTTTTCTTCACAGAACAGTTCTGTAACAGTAGGTGTTTTGGGGATTTTGTAACTTTAGACGTTTGTTATTGGACTTTTTGTACCCACCTCACATAAAATGTGTAGGTTTCATGAAAACAAACCATTAAATTAAAATTCTATTTACTTTTACATATAATTAATTAGGATATGTTTTTTACGTTCTACATTTGAAGTATCTATTTGATTTGAACGATTATTTGAAATAGGTCCCATTATGCCACCATGCTTCATTTGAAAGTTTATATTATGATTATGTGAAAGGGACTGTAAACGTAATTTCAAGTGAGCCTTAGTTGAAAAAGTGACATGCCGGATTCACATCGATACCCATAAAAGCTTTGTCAGATGAAGTATTTAATTTATACATCCATGTTTTTGACTTTGAACTGTTTATTTTCAAATGTTGTTACTCTGCAAAAGTGACATGTGCATTGTCATCATTGATCAGATAAAGGTTTCAAGGGTACCGTTGTGAATCTTGCACTGCCAATCTTTAGATGGACAGGCCTATTCAGATTTGATAATTTAAATGTTCTGTGTTTTGAGTTTAGTGTGCCCCCACCTTCCCAATATGGAAAGTAACACATCTGTAAACATGGGAGCATCTTATATTCTCATATTTAACTTCTTAGCAGAGCATTCATTCATTTCATTCATTCATCCATTCATCCTTGCATTAGTTAATTATCCTTGCTTTCATCCTTTCAGATATTGTTGATAATTTGACCTCAACCTTTTACACTATGTGAAGAAGAGGTTAATAAATTGCTCTAGTAAATTTTACGTCTGTAAAAATGATAATTTAGAAAAAAATTGTCATACTTTTTATATCATCTTCATTAGATATATTTTTTAAAAAGGGCACCCCTTTATCTATCAGTATTATTTATCTATCTATCTATCTATCTATCTATCTATCTATCTATCTATCTATATCTATATATAAATTTGGCTTGTCTGTCTGTTTGTATCCAATAAACGTCAAAACGGCTGAACCGATCGGGCCCAAATTTTTTGTGGGACTTCTAGGGACTCCAGGGAAGGTTTATGAATCATCAAAATTTCAAATATTTGTCTCCATCAAAATTCGATCGTCATTAAATTTTTTAAAATTTTGAAAATCCGCGAAATTTGTACACAAAGAGAACATGTTCACAATTAATTTATGAGATGGGCGCGAAGCGCCCTCTAAGGCTAGAAAGAAGGGCGCGTAGCGCCTTGAATTTCTAGTATCTATATATCTATCTATCTATCTATCTTTCTAACTATATATCTAGCTATCTATCTTTCTAACTATATATCTATTTATCTATCTATCTTTCTAACTATATATCTATCTATCTATCTATCTATCTATCTATCTATCTATCTAACTAACTAACTGTCTATCTATCTATACTATTTATCTATCTATCTATCTATCTATTTCTCTAACTGTCTATCTATATATCTATACTGTCTATCTAGCTATCCTTATCCATCTATCTATCTATCTGGAGTGACATACATATTTAACCCTACTTGGTTGTTGTTAACCAATCTGAACTAAATCTTATCTCTGCTTTTGGGCAGAGGAATTATTAGAACAATTGGAGATGGATGGGGGGGGGGGGGGCTACACACATTTGATTTGACAAACCATTTTTAATATTAATGTAACCCACCCACCATAGTTTCAGCAGAAGTAAATATTTCCATTTACCAATTGAAGGATTCATAACTGATTGGATAATGAGATAGATGTTACCGCCATACTATTTCTCTATTGGTTCAGAATAGACAACAAACACATGACTATCAGGCTTTAATGGACTCGGCATACAGGAGTGCACCATCTCCGATCTTGCTTAATATTTATATATAAAGAATGTGTTTTGTTTAAAAATCTATAATTAATGGCTTTTACCATTATTTTATCTAATTTTTTAGACATTTGATATTTCAATCTATGAATTCTGTTAGATCTATAGGCTAAGTTTGAAATATCAAGTTGAAAATCAAGATTAGAAAATTTGATTTTGTGGCAAAAACTCATTTCCTTTTACACAATATGAAGTATTATTTTTCCATTAGGGTCTCGATAGATGGTTTTGATCCTAACGAGCTTCTTATACTTTATACGCTCAACATTAGCTTAATATAGAGCTAAAATTAGCTCAAGATGAGCTCGAAATAATCTTAGTATTAGCTTTATGATACCTCAATATTAGCTCAATATTATCTCAGTGTTAGCTCATTATAACCTTAATTCATACAATCTTTATATTAGCTCAATATAATCTCAATATTAGCTCAATATAATCTCAATATTAGCTCATTATAATCTTAATATTACCTCAAGAATAGCTCAGTATTTACTCTATGTTAGCTCAACATTAGCTCATGTTAATCTCAGTGTGCTCGATGTTAGCTCAATAATGGCTCAGTATTAGCTCAATTTTTTAAATCTTTGTGTTTTTATTTTTATTTTCGTTTTTAAGGTTTTAAGAAACTATTTATCTATCTATTTATCTATCTATCTTTCTACCTGTTTGTCTAACTGATTGAAACAAGTTAATTTAAGTTTGGTTCCCTTGAATTAACTTGAATTAACTTTGTGATTTTGATTTAATAATATCCCCCCACTAGCAGTAAATATATCGGCCCTTCTAGTATTCCCCCTCTCAGGGATGTATATTTCCCACCTTGGAATTTTCCCCAATCCCTATTTTAATTATTAATTAATTTTTTTTTTAAGTCTATCCTTTTTCAAGAAAATATTTTTCTTTGCTGGGAATTTTTATGATTCCAATATTACAAATAAACTTTTTATTACCAATAATTGATAAGTAAGGAACAGTGTACATGGTGTTAACTGTACATGGTGTACAGTACCTGTCAAAAAAATATTATTATTACAAGATTTCTTTTAAAATCACAGAAATAAAACTTTCTTCCTGTATTTTTGAAAATATGTCAAAATAAAGTATTTTAGTCTGTAACTCATAACTAAAAACGCTCATAACTATTATGAATAATAATTTGTTTTGCAAATTAATTTTAATGTGTTAAATTGGATGCATTTTGTTTTGACTACAGAAAGGGGCTTTAGACCAGAAAGGGCGTTAACTTTTGCAAATACAGTGGAATAGAAGATTTCTTATTTTAAGTTCTGCATATCCCTGTATTTCTGTGGAATGAATGCTTGAAAAGAAAAAAGTTAGACTAGTGTTCTGAATATAGAGGGGAGGGGGGAGATATAAATTCATTTTATAGAATGGGGAAGAATGGGGAGGGGGGAGGATAGTTTAAGGAAAAAAGGAATGGAAGAAGGATAGTTTAGGGAAGAAAAGAATGGGGAAAGAATATGTTAGAGGATAGTTTGGTAAAAAAGGAAGGGGGAGAAAGACAGTTTAGTTAAGATAGGAAGTGGAGAAAGACTGTTAAGGGAAGAAAGGAAGGGGGAGAAGGACAATTTAGGGAAGAAAGGAAGGGGAGAAGGACAGTTTTGGGAAGAAAGGAAGGGGAGAAGGACAGATTAGGGAAAAAATTGTAGGGTGAGAATGTCAGTTTAGGGAAGAAAGGAAGGGTAGAAGAGTAGTTGGGGGTAGAAAGGAAAGAGGAGAAGAGTAGTTGGGAGTAGAAAGGAAAGAGGAGAAGGATAATTTTGGAAAGAATGAAGAGGAGAATAATAGTTTTAGAAAGAAAGAGTAGGGAGAAGGATAGTTTTAGGAAGATAGGTATATGGAGAAAGAGAAGGATAGGGAGGAGGGTCGAAGGGGGGAATAAAGAAAGATGATAGTATGTTTGTGTATTGAGGATTGATTGTATGTTCACATTGATTTTAACAAAAACATTTGTAAGAAGGAAAGGTCAGCTTAGTGCGCCTAGATCTTGCTGCGCGCATCCACGCGCCCTAGGGTTGGTTCATTTCTTCATCTTTTATTTATTTCCTACTTTCATTCTTAATTCCCTGTCCTGATACTCTATCTTTAAAGAAGGCAACAACATTGGTGCATGTTGAAATGAATAAAGGAATTGAATCTTTGCCACAAACTCTGATTTTCTAATTACTAGATCTTTGGAACCAAATGTTGCATACCTTAAATATTTCAAACTATGAATTCTGTTAGATCAAATAATCTGAGTTTGAAATATCAAAGGTTTACAACATCGAGTTCTGAAGATATTGTGGTTTAAATATTTGATTTTGTTTCAAAGACTCAATTCCTTTAAATTTTTTTGCAGTCCTTAGAATCCTGATCTGTTGGATTCGCAGTATTTTGGCTTCCTAAATCCGGATCTGCAAAAATATTAACGTTGATACAATGGGCAAAATATCAACCAAAACATGATGCAAAAAGTTTCAAAAATTTACACTATTTAAAAATTTTGTAAAACTTTCTTATCTTTGAATGGTTCATCAAGTTTCTGCAAAAAAAAAAATGATCAAAAAAGAAATGTTGACAATACATACATTTGGCTTTGAAATAAAGATTGATCTGCTGCTACATAGTTCACAAATATTTTTATTTTACATTTTAACATTTTTGACATTTTTTCTTCCATTTTTTTGGAGATGACAGTTAAAATTTACTGCAAAATAGTTTAAGGGGGGAAGTTTGGTATTTTTATCTTTGATTTTCCAAATAGTTTAGGGAAGGGGTATTTCTTATTTTAAGTTCTGCATATCCCTGTATTTCTTATTTTAAGTTCTGCATATCCCTGTATTTCTTATTTTAAGTTCTGCAATATCTATCTATTTATTTATTTAGCTGTCTATCTATCTATTTAGCTATCTGTCTATCTATCTATCTATCTATCTATCTCTCTGTTTGTGTATTTATTTATCAATTTTTCTATTTATCTATCTATCTACAGCTGTCTATGAATCTAGTTTTAAATCTGCCTATCTTCCATTATTTCTATCTAGTTAGATATGCGTGATTATTTTAAACTTTTGTAATTTAATTATCTTTAAACTTACAGAGTCGTTTTATTTTTCTTCAGCATTTTAAAACGCAAAAAATAAAAGTATATGTTTTGCTTGTAAATTAATGTAAACTATCTAAGTATCTATCTATCCTTCAATCTATAACTGTCTTTTTTTATAAAATTATCTACTTATCTATTTTCTATTTCAATATCTATATCTTAATTATATTTTATACCGTTTTTTCTGTAATTCTTTAATCATTATTATTAAACTTGTACATTGTTTATATCGAGTTTAGTGGATGTGGCTAAGGCCAACCAAAAGTGTTGACCTTAATGCTAATTTAATATGCAATGGTTTGTATACCCTGTATTTAGGGTTGTTAATCGTTTTTGTAAACGATCGTTAAACGATCGTTTTTTGTTTCGTTTTCAAAAACGATCGTTTCGTTTTCAGAAAAAAACTATCGTTTTTAAAAACGACACACTCGTTTTGAACTTTTAGAAAACGAATAGCGATCGTTTTTGAAAACGATCGTTTTTATTAAAACGATTTGCGATCGTTTTTTATACGATTGTTTTTAAAAAACGATCGTTTTTTGAAATTTTTTTTTATTGACANAGATACAGATACAGATACAGATACAGATACAGATACAGATACAGATACAGATACAGATACAGATACAGATACAGATACAGATACAGATACAGATACAGATACAGATACAGATACAGATACAGATACAGATACAGATACAGATACAGATACAGATACAGATACAGATACAGATACAGATACAGATACAGATACAGATACAGATACAGATACAGATACAGATACAGATACAGATACAGATACAGATACAGATACAGATACAGATACAGATACAGATACAGATACAGATACAGATACAGATACAGATACAGATACAGATACAGATACAGATACAGATACAGATACAGATACAGATACAGATACAGATACAGATACAGATACAGATACAGATACAGATACAGATACAGATACAGATACAGATACAGATACAGATACAGATACAGATACAGATACAGATACAGATACAGATACAGATACAAATACAGATAAAGACACAGATACAGATACAGATAAAATTACATGTATGTGGCTTGAACTGATGTAAATCTTAGCCTACATGTATCTCTCTTGTTGCATTCTTGTCAGGCAGATTGAGATGTCAGGCAGATTCAGGCATTCTTAAAGGGACTGTCAATATAATTCTAAATAACTTTATTTTTCGATTTTTCCCGTGAAAATTTGACAACGGTTACCTTGAACGCTGTAACACTAATTTAGAATATCTTAGTTGGTATAAATCGTGGATTTCTACAGAAAGTAAAGTAAACACATTGTATTAATCCCATTTTGGATAAAACCATTGATCTCAGACAGAGATTAAAAACGTTGCCTCAGGTAACCCTCAATTGATAAAGTGGCATGTCATATTCCCAGTGGTGCTTAAAAGCTTTGCCTGGCTAAGTATGAATTAGATTTCCATCCAAGGATAAATAATATTCTTAAATGGAGGGAAGGTTTCTTAAACTTTAGAATCATTTGTTAATCGTTTGTGACATTTTATATTTTTAAGGTAAATTTAAGTATTGTTGACAATCCCTTTAAACATACTTTCTTCTAAACTTTGAAATCCTAAATTTAAATATTTAAAAGAGGAGATTTGTTAAGGGTTAACTTTCAATTTTAATCCATTAAAAAAATTTATACAACAGAATTATCCATTTATTGGCATTTATTGTAAAGGAACTTAATTGTCTTATTCTTATATCTTTTCATCCCAATAGTTTAATCTATGAATTGTAAGAGATAAACCATGCGAAGCTTAGAGTGTCCCACGTCATATTGGATTGTGCAAAGCTCTAAATTTGGATTTTTGGAATTTTTAAAGGTTAAATTATTTTTAGAAAGGTTGTGTAAAGCTGGAATAAACAATTGAATGCAGAAAAGAAGCTTAAAGATAATCCAATATCATAGTGGACGCTCTGTATTGTTTACACAATCAGGTTGCTCAGATATAGGGTTTATGGATTTTTCGCCGGCGTATGAATAATTTTGTGTGTAGCATTTAAACCTTTTATTTTAAATAATTTAAAATTATCAGCAAATTGCATTGTTTTTTTTCTTTGTATCTTTAGTTTCATCTTTTGTTAGACCTTGAAAATATGTTATTATTTGTTCTCATATATAATGGACATGAAAATATGATTGTATACTATATAGTTATCATTGCTTAGGGGCTTAGAGATGGGTAGAATGTATGGGGTGTAGGCTAGTGTGATGCACTGTGGGGGGGGCAAGGGGGGGAGAGAAACCTACGAATCGATTTTAAATCATCATTTCGGCTTCATTTCTTTCCGCCTTTTGTTTTGTAACTTTAATTCATTATCTTCCTGATTGAGCGTATATGGTTAATTTATGCTTTATCTTTCTTTTACGGCATCCTCATTTCTTGTTAGAAATTCATTAAAATTTATAGTTTTATTTTTGGTAATTTTTTTTACATTTTCAGGTATTCCTGAGGACTGGGGTACTATCCCGTCTAGAAGAAGAAAGAGAAGAGAAATTAGGAGAAAAAATCATCAGACTTCAGGCATTTTAACACCGCCTTTTATCAGCCCCACTTATTTTTATATCAGCGCCTCTTATTTTTATATCAGCGCCTCTTATTATTTTTATATCGGCGCCTCTTATTATTTTTATATCGGCGCCATTTATTTTCTTTAACAGTGCTCCTTATTGTCTTTAATAGTGCCATTTATTGCCTTTAACAGCGCCACTTATTGTCTTTAACAGAGTCACTTGCTGTCTTTAATAGCGCCATTTAGTGTCTTAACAGTGCCATTTATTGCCTTTAACAGTGCCACTTATTGTCTTTAACAGTGCCATTTACTGCCTCTAACAGCGCCCCTTATTTTCTCTAACAGTGCCATTTATTGTCTCTAACAGAGCTACTTAATTTCTTTAACAGCGCCACTTGATTTTTTTAACAGCGCCACTTGCTGTCTTTAATAGCGCCATTTAGTGTCTTTAACAGTGCCATTTATTGTATTTTAACAGCCCCACTTATTGTCTTCAACAGTGCTTCTTTTTGTCATTAACAGTGTCACTTATTGGCTTTAAAAGTTCCATTAATTGTCCTTAACATTTCCATTTATTGTCTTTAACTGCGCCACTGATTGACATTTACAGCGCCACTTATATCTTTCACATAGCCACTTAATTTAGCAGTGCCAGTGCCAGTGGCATTTAAAGCGTCACTTAATAGATTATATGCAACACTAAAAGAATTTATTAGCACCACTTAATAAATTTAGCAACGCCACTAAATGAATTAAACCGCGCGACCCCGCTAAAAGATTTCACCACCTTCACTAACTTTATCTCTGCATTTTGTTCTATAAGACCACTAATAAATGACATTAAGACCAACACAAATGCTGCACTGTAAGCAAATTGACTTATGCAGAAATCGCAAAATATGACCGGGGTTAAATCTTGAAGGCTGTAGCTAGAGGTCACATTGCCAGGAAAAAACTTCAAAAGTTAAAGGTTTGATTTCATTATTAATGCTGTTATTATTATTATGATTATTATTACAATAAAATATTATTATTTTCTATAATAAATTGATAATTTTAGATTTTTAAAAAGTTTTTCCGTGTTTTCTCAGCAATAAAACTATTTACTTAACCCTCTCCCGCCTNNNTATTTCTCTGTCTGATGAACTGATTGATTGAAATCATGTCACACTTGACTTAATCTCCCCCCACCTCCTTCATCTACTAATTGACTTTCTCCATAGCAGCAACCATCAACAGATAAAGAGACCAGTTAGAGTCAATTTTCTCATTTGAAATGGAGAGTCAAAATCTTATGTTAATTAGCGAGCCTCAAGAGCGAAAGAGTAAAACCTACCCCTCACCCCTCCCTCATCTAGATAAATAATGAAAGAAGTGGGAGATAGGAAGGCACTGAAATTCAAGATTTACACACTCAAATCAAGTAGTATTTTGCAAACTACTCCTTTCAAAATTAAGCTAGAAACTAGCGGGTTGAATTTTTAAAATATTTATGCCTATGGCTACAAAAAAAATGTAAGTTAGTTGGGGATATAAAATCAAAGGCAGGCGTGGCGACAAATTAAATTCGAGGCTATCTAACAAATTTATGACGAACTTTCAGAGTTGTTTATTGTGCATATCCCTGTATTTCTTATTTTAAGTTCTGCATATCCCTGTATNGAAAAAGGAGAAGGAAAAGAAGGAGGAGAAGGAAAGGGAGGAAAGGGAGGGTAAGGATGAAGATGAGGGAAAGAGTGGAGATTAGGGAAAGGAAGAAGGTGGGGGTAAGGATGAAGTTCAGGGAAAGGATTTGAATCCCCCTTGGATAAGATATTAATCTAACTAATGAACTTTATAAATCCTTATCTTATTGATCATATTTTAGAGAAGAGAAATATTTCTAGTATTTCATGCCTATCCTAGATATAATCTAGAGCTGGGCAAAGTTCCGGAAATTGATGGAATTGTTAAAAAACTAACCAAAATTGAAAGGGAAAAGTTAAGTTAGGAACAATTGATAAATTTGTTTGCCGTTACTAACCCAAACTATTTATTTAAAGGGACTGCAAAGGATAAATGAAAGGGGGTATAGGCTGAAAGCTAATCACTTTAGCTCTTGATTGTGACCCATGAAAGTTTTATCGGATGTTTGTGTCTCGAGAAACTGATTTACAACTTTGTTAAACTTGTGCGAAAATGAATATAAATACGATTTTGTATAAAAGTAGTGGGTTTAAAAAGATCTAATTCAGCAAATATGCAATTAATCTGAAAACGATGATATCCCAGAGAAAGCTCATTGTAACTTAGGTTTACAGAACTGTTCCTGGTGCTGTAATTAGAAGGATAAACCATTAAGAATTTTGGAGAAGAATAGCGGGATCTTTTTTAGCCGATTTTAAAACAAATCTGTGCTATTGTAACAGTGGGCGAGTTTTGTTGATCTTTTACGATCAGCAATTCAAGGATTTTTTATATTATTCTATCTAGACCCAAGATATTGCTATCCGGTGTATACAGAAGAATGTGGAGAAGTTTATGGGAGTCAGGGACTGGGCCTGGTGGAGACTTCTTGTCAAGGTAATTCATTTTAAAAATCCATTTTAAAGGGACTATTTACGTAAATCAAGTAAAGATTCATTTACAAACTGGCATTCCCTTTTCTCAACGGTGCTCTTTGGCTAATCAATAATCTTTAGCTAATCAATAATGTGGAAGAAATCATCTTTTTATATCTGGAAAATTGATTAATTCATTTTTTCTGTGTCAGAAATCCGCAATTCAGTTTTTTTACATATATCATTCACCATTCATTCATTCATTCATTCATTCTTCATACTCCTCGAGAGAAACAACTAGTATTATTCTTCATTACACACAGATTCTGTTAATACCGTTGATTACAGTTCCTCTTAAATTCCACATGAAAATCTGTTTTTAATTTTCTTATTTTACTAACAAATTGTATTACAAAATATATTTATTTTAATTTTAAATTCAAATCTATCTATCTATCTTTCTATCCAGGTATCTCCTCTACTAAATGTTCAAAGAACTGAGGAGAGGCTAAAACAACGCGAAGATGAAGTTGAACAGCTTAAGCAGAGGTGATCAATCAATCAATCAATCAATTATTCAATATATAAATTAATAAATCATTAAATTAATCAATCGGGCAATCAATCAATTAGTATATCAATAAATAAAATAGTAAATTAATCAATCAATCGATTAATATATCAATAAATAAAATAGTCAACTAATCAATCAATAAATAAAATAGTCAATTAATCAATCAATCAATTTATCAAGCAAGCAAGCGAGCGAGTTTTTAAACATTAAATAAGTTTAGTTTAAAATTTGAATTGATTAAAAAAATGAATTGTTAAGGTTGGAAAAGGTTGAGAGAGAAAGGAAGGAGTTTAAAGACGAAGCGGAGAGAAACCAAGCCAGGGTGAGTCAAAAAAAATGTTTTAATGTTACAGGGTGTGAATACAATAGTGCATGCATCTTAGTATATTAATATTAATGGCAATCAGAATTATATATTTTGTGAGTAGTTATACACTATGACAACTTTTTATGTACGTACAGGTAATGCATATTTATATATATATATGTATATATACATGTCTATATTATTAAAATGTTATTAAACATTCAATTAAATTCAATTAAGATCATTAAATAAACATAAACATTAAACAAATTCTCAAATGAAAAAAGCCAATACATATGCTGATTTCTTTTAAAATATCTAAATAATATATTAATCAAGCTGTTTGGCAGATTTTCTTGATATCCGATCATAACTCAGGAACCCCTTGTCCGATTTTTCTCAAATTTTGATTGGGGGACACAATGTTCTGAGCTTGTTTGCTCTTAATAGAGTTGTATCTTGGCTTTTTAGGAAAAACTTAGTTCCCAGGCAAAGCTGGGTTCCCAAGCTAGTATATTATTTAAAGTCATCTAATTATCTATATAACATACATATATGAATAGAATAGGGTTGCAGGTCTGCTTAAATTCCAGCCCAGAGTAATTCGATGGAATATTTGAAATTCCACAGAGGGTTGCACATTTTACCGTTGGGTGGCGCTGCATGCAATACGAAATTCTGTAGTAGACTGCTAGCGCCATCTAGTGGTATTTGTGAACAATAATAAAGTGTCAAATTTACAGATGAGGAATTTCAATCATTCTCTCAAAATATTTTTGAATTTTTCTGTCAAAATGTGAGGACATTATTCTGTTTCCACTTTCCAGTTTTCAGTTTTAGAAACATCTAAGGAATGAGAAATGTAAATACGCGTAAAAATGCCGGTCAATTAGACCGGTGTTCAGTTACCTAGCTAAATACTCAACATTTTACATTTTTATCAAAAGTAAATATAGTCATCAAAGTAAATAAAAAACTAAATGAAAAGGAAGTATTAGAAAAACATGTAAATTATAAGAAAGGAAGAAAGGGTGAAAAAGAAAAATCAGTATTAAAAAAATATGAAAAGAAAACAAGAAAAATAAAGACAAGATTGGAAAGAGATTAAAAAAAGAAAAATAAATAATAAAAGAAAGAAAGAAAGAAAGAAAGAAAGAAAGAAAGAAAGAAAGAAAGAAAGAAAGAAAGAAAGAAAGAAAGAAAGAAAGAAAGAAAGAAAGAAAATCTAAAAAAGAGAGAAAAACAAAAAAACTTTTTAAAAGATTTTAGAGAGGAAAAGAAAGAGTAAAAGAGTGAAAAATTAAACCCGACATGGAAAAGGGTACAATGTACATAGATAAATGTATAAACTGAAAACTGAAAAACTAGATGACATCTCAAGCTCTAATCTATTTTGAGGCATGCTGCACATTTGGTCCCTGAAAAATCCTTCAGTTTTCGAACCCTGCAAACTTCTAAAGTCAACTTGTTTGTGAAAAAGAGAGAGTTTGGAAACCCTTTTTTGAAAACTTATAACAATCTATTTTCTTCGAATAAAAAAAATGGCAACAATGTTCTCGGGCCCCTCATCAGGACATTTTAGTTCGTCCTCGAAGCCTCGGCTATCCCGACCTCTAAGTGTGTTCCCTCAGCCTCTAAAAGGGAGCATTTAAGGGATAAGAGTAAACTTTGTTCTTTAAAAATCCCCCATTGAAAAGTTTTATTTTGTAAAACAGAACTGATCTAATTTTTTGGACAACATTGAGTAAGAAATTAAATTTAGTGAGCAATTTGAAATATTTACTCAATGATCAAGAAAAATTCAAACACTTTCTGATAAGAAAAGGCTGCAGATTGCAAATAAATTTAAATACGAATTTTAACAGTCTTCCAAAGCTGAGAACGATTGATATTTTCTGAGCAATCCCTATATGCGAAAATAGTCTTTGACATTTAAACCTCAAGTGAACATTGCATCTTCCCGAAAGTCACAGCAAACATTGCACCTTCATAAAGTTCAAAGTAAATATTGCATCTTCCGTATAAGTTCATAGTGCACATTGCATCTTCCCAAAATTCATAGCAAATATTGCATCTTCTTTGTGAACTATGAGTATAAATCTTTCCAAAGTTAATTTTAGTTTTCAAAACAAATATTCTATTTTTATAAAGTTATTCAAACCCCACTTTTAAGTTTATTTCTCGCAACTTTTTAACAGTTTTTCTTCCAGACCAGATACCATTCGGAAACATATCTCTTGCAAAATTTTCACGCATTTTCGTACTTAATTCTATTAATTATTAGTTTTAAAAAAGAAAAATTTGTCATTCATTTTTACAATGTTTATCATTTCTTAGTTTACTTATTTCATAGTCATTTATCCCTTTACCCTGCCTTATTCACTTTGTTTACTTGTTTATGTTTGTATTTCTCTTTAATTGCTCTACTTTTCTTCTCGTTTTTATGTGCCTTTGTTGTTAAAAATTAGAACTTATGTTTGTTTCTTGAACTCTTTTTCCAAATCAACCCCCTTCCCCCCCCCCTTAAGTCTTTTGCTCTAATATTTTATCTTTTATTTTGTTTATATTTTGTCTTATAGTTTTCTCTTCAGTTTTTTTTTATCTGTTCTTTTGAACAATTTCTTGTTAAATATTCCTTTAAATTGATTCTGGTCTTTTGTCTTTTAAATCATTTCTTGTTGCTAGTCCCTTTAAATTAATTTTCGCTCATCTGTCCCTAGAAATTATTCCTTGTTCAATTGTCCCTTTAAGCCGGTTAGATGCTCGCTGTTTTTCCCCTATCCACTTAGGAGACTTTCCCAAGATTCTTGATCACCTTCCAAGGTGTGGGGGTGAAAAATAATTTAGATTTGTAGATTTATTTTTTAACATTATTGATAATTTAACCAAACAAGTAATTTTACCTAGGATCAAATCAATAATTTTTAAATAATTTTTAAAAGTATTTCCCCCCCCCCCTTGAGGAAGATGTCGGAGAGTTTAAATTCAGTTTATGTTGGGAACGGAGTTACAAACCCACTTTTCCCCAAATCTATGAATTCCAGGAAAGTTAAATAAAGTGAAATAAATCTGAGCTTAAAATATGGATTCTGGCTTTTTAAGAAAAAGTATCTAACTCTCAGTGGATATGATCATGTTATTCTCAAAAGATAAAAACTTTTTTGCTATTAAAATTATAGAAATTTCTCATTTATCTTTAAAAGTCATTATTTATATAATTTCTACTTTCTTGAAAATTTCCTTGCTTGTCTATTTTATTTAAATCACTATAGTAAAGCCACAGGGACAAGATATTAATTTTAATAAAGAACTCATAGTATTTTCTAACTCAAGGGATATTGAGATATTTTACCATTAAAGGAACTGTAGGCATAATTTCAAGTGACCCTCCTTGCAATGATAGTATTTCTGATTTAGAAAGGTACCCCTGAAACCTTTATTTAATCAAAAATTTGGAAGATAGTCACTCTTAAGCACTGTGCACTGAGCAGTGCAAAGTCATTTTTGCAGAGAAACTCTAAATTAAAGAAAACAGTTTTAATGAAACAAAAACATGGATATCTAATTCACATTTTATCAGACAAGGCTTTTAAGGGTACTGTTCTGAATCTGGCAATGACATCTTTACATGTAGGGTCACATGAAATTACATTCAGGAATTAATTCAGTTATCATTTTTGGGTTTAAATCTTGAAACTTTATTTGATTGATTGACAGAGAACCTGGGTTTATCAGCAGGTTCTACAAACCCAAGCAACAAGGGTAATAACATAAAACACAGAAAAGAACCTTTCAAAAAATATTAAAATATTAATGATGGTTTGAGATATAGTTTAATCCCAGGGACACTATAGAGGAACGGTACTCAAACGGAAACCAAAATTTGGTTTTAAAACAAGATTTCCAGGCTTCAAGGTTAGAAAAATAGATTTATAACTTAAATACAGGGGTTAAAGAAAGAACAATTTTAGGAATATTGGACTCCAAGGCTTCTTGAGTAGGCTAGATGAAAAGGATGAAATCATTATAAATCGTAGCAATTCAGGTTCAAGTTACGGTTCAGGAAAGAACTTTAATTTGAAAAATGAAATAAATCCAAAATCTGAATAGACATATTTCTTCTGGATCATCTGATTAATTTTCTTAATTTTTTGATCCCAACAAAGAGTGGATTTAAAAGAAATAGATTTAGAATTTTAGTTGTTCTGAATAAAGGTGAAGCTCCAGGTTCATCTTCCAGTAGTGGTTACAGCAGCAACAAGGTGATTAAGTTGTTTAAATTGATCAGAAAATTTGCAAAACTCAAATCTGGGATATGACATGATTCAATTGCAGAAGTCAAATGGGAAACATCAACCTTTTGTTGAATTAGAGAGTGAGGAAGAAGAGGTTGAAGGTCAAAGTGTTGTAAAAGGAGCACTTGAGCTAAATAATGCCGATCATTACCTACTGAAAACTAGTGATAAGAAATCTGCGATAAACATTCAAAGTGATAACTCTACTGCCAAGGAATAGAAGCAGAGTTTTCAATTTCAAATTTATTGTTTTATTTTATGTTAAATGATTTTGCTATCAGAGCTATCTAATGCTGAACTTCTTTAATCACACCTTTGTATCTAGAGAAAAACATTGCTTACATTAACAAACTAGATATTTCAAAACAACTGAAATTTTGCGGTAACATTGGAAATCATTCAGAAATTAAAATTAACCAAAAAATTAAATTGTTTAGAGCAATAAAAAACGGCCTTTTTTAAAATGAGTGGAAAAAATGAACAAGTTTTTCTCCGTAAAACTATGGAATGATTGAAAATCTTATTTTTTCTGCTTTTATCAATCAATCAAAAGCAATTATCACTGACTGATTGGCATGATAAGATGTTTTTTGCCATGTGAGTTTTTAAATTTTCAGTATCCAATAACTCTGCTGTTTGTCAGTTAATGAGTGATATATCTAAAATGCCTGATGGACTTTCAAACTCCATTGCAAGTTTTCTCAAAAGAACTGATAAAGTAACAGAAGATCTAAAAAATGGTCGGAGAGAAAGAGAGTTGTCACTAATGCCAGAACATCGAGATATGAGTTATGGAAGAGATATAAGATCAACTTCAGTTGCTAGAGCTAGCTCTGTAGCTAGACAATTTGAACCATCACCCACAGGAACCTTTCACAAATAATAATGAGATATATCCATAGTCCTTGTTAAAAGAATTGAGTCTTTGCCACAAACTCAGATTTTCTAATTCCTATATCTTTGCGATCCAATGTTGTAGACCTTAAACATTACAAACTATGACTTCTTTTAGAGCAAATAATCTAAGTTTTGGGTTCCAAAGATATATTTGAGTTTGTGGTAAAGACTCAATTCCTTTGACCATGTATTGTTTACCATAAATTAAATCATATGTCTCTGTTATCATTATGATTGTTTGTTGATTTAGCAAGTTTCACAAGAGCTGGATCTGTAACTAGAAATTATGATCTTAGGAAATTCCCCAAAAAGAAAAAAAATTAATAAATTTAAGAAAGAATTGTAAGTTAAATGCATTTTGGTTGGGTATCCATAATTTAAGTTAATTTTTCAATACAACTGTTTTGAAAAGTGTATTTGCTTATATGTTCCTTATTAATTTCACTTACAACATGTTAAGAATTAAATCCAATTTAAAAACACCAACAACAAAAAACCCTTCCTAACCTGCTCCACAATTTGGGATTTTTAGTTCTAGGGATCCATACTACAGCAACATTTCTCGATCAGCATTCAGGCAGGGTTCATTTGTCATCTTATAAAATGTTTAAAATTCTTAGAAGGTGTGGCGTTTAGATGGGTTGATCTCAATGTAAGTAGGACAAAATTGAACTCAGCAAAACCGTCCTGCTAACAATATTTCATATTTATAGATGAAAAAAAAAGATTGTTAACTGAGCTAGCTAGACAATTTAATAGAAATGAACTCAACTGTTCAGTCGACCTTATAGAGAGTCCAGTGTTCCGTTACAAGGATACAACGGGCACATGAGAGACTACAATTCAAGACCTTTGGGATTATCTCCTCTTTTAGAAAACAGAATTCTTTCACCCAATCACAGCTTTGCAGATCCATCACTGTCCTACAGATCATCTGCATTAAATACCTTCAAACAAACTGACTTTAAAAAGCCTTCAAACTCAAGGTTTCTTTGCATGAATTATTCACTTTTATAACAATCTTTCTCACCGTTTCTGTATAGGTCTTTGGGCCATGAAAATGAATAATGCATATGGACAATATTTTGTTATCATTCTTAAGAAAAAAATCAACAACAGTTATCTTATTTCAAAGTTTTTTCTCTGTTAAATGAAATAATTCATTCCATAGATTTCGAACACTTGAGGATGAATGCAATTGGATCTTAAGTGGTAGGGACCCATTGCCAGGAAACTAATCAGTTTATTTTGATACATATCAGATCTTGTTTTAAATTATTTGATTATTGAGATATTAGAATAAATGGACTAAAAATGTATTTAAAAGAGATTTTTAGACAACAAGAATTTTATTTATACTCATGAAGGATGCCTTAATTCCTAAACCATAATTAAAAGAATGAGAACCAAGTTTGAGGGGAAAAAGACTGAGGATGCTTTTTTACGAATCTATTTTTCTGGTGGTTTTCAATATCTGAATCATCAAGCTGTAAAATCGATTGATAATTAACTGATACCTGTGATTTAAGCAGATATAAAGCATGATAAAAATGATGAAGATGAAAACACTCTTGATGACATATCAGGAGATGAAGTAAGTTGTTGCAACAAATTTTACACCGTTTACAATTTATGGATTTTTGCATACTTTCCTGATCCCATAAATTGTGAGTGTGTAAACTGCAAAAATATTGCAGGAATTAAGCACATTCTGCACTCTTTCAAGGTTGCAGAAAAGCAGCAAAAAGTGCAAAATTTTCCAGTGGGCACGTCCTTTACAAACAAACTTGACGGCCGTGTTTATAAAAACATTCAAGACTGTTCGAATTATATAATTTGTTTACTTTGACACTTTTAAAACTGTCTCTTATGATTTATAAGTAAACTTTGTTGACTTTTTAGGGATTTAAAAGCTGTTGCACTTCGCTGAAGAGCAGTTGCAACAATTCCAACCTAATGGTACCGGGTTTAAATGTTTTACATAAATGTTATGCTTTAAAGCTGTGGGGTTTTTGGCTGTGAAATATGCTTTAAGTTAAACCCAGGGCTATGGCTACTACTACTAACCTCTACATAAAATAGATATTTATTAATTTAAGATAAAAAATAACATTTAAAAAACAAACAAAAATAAATTATGTTTATTACAATTTCTACTATTATCAGCTCTCCTCAAGTTTTGATGGATTGAGTTTTCCAAAAGTATCTGTTGGAAGAGAAATCAGGCATATTAGACATAGGGTAATTTTCAAATTCTGATACAATTAGAGTATCAAATATAGAATGTTTTATGGATAGAACAAATGGAAGCTTTTTGGTAGCATACTTTCGGTTTTTTAGAAATTCTTAGTGGTATAACTGGCAAAAATTACACATAGTTGGAAAAACAGTTTAGACCCTAGAATTTAGAATTTAGAATCAAACTTCTCACATAGGAATGATGGAAAAATAAAAACACATTATTGAATTATTGTATTAATATATATACAGAGGGACTCAAGAAATACAGAAAGAAGTCAACTGTACTCTACCGCCATGTCGGCTTAAATTCTGAATTACCGATTGTAATTCTCATGAATCTTTAAATTCGAATTAGTGATTAAGGATTTGAACCGGCGATAGGTAGTTTAGCAACCTTTCTACATAAGTATTTTCTTCAAAATAAAAATATATAAAGTATATAAATATATTTGTTTAGAGAGTTTGTACTTATAGATATATTTTTAGTATGTTTTTAAATTCACTAAAATGTACAATAAAGTCATTCGGCCTTAAAACAGAATATTTTATGTAGAAATGTATTTTATATATAATATATGTATACTATTGTATGCATGGACAGCTGATTGCCATTATGCATTCTAAATACAACATTTGTAATGAGTTATGTGCACGCCTTTTTACTTGTAAAAAATAATTAAAAATTATATCAATTAGTTAATAGATTTAATAACAAAACAAAAACTGTTTTTGTCCAATTGATTTTTTTCTACATTGTTACGATAAAATTCTAAATAATAATATTGCTTTAAAGTGGTTTACTCGTTTTTTTCTCCTCTCAAACTTGACTGAGGTATTCATAGATTCAGGATTGAAAAAACGACTATAGGCCACACTTTGGAAAACCCAAACTCTGTAAGCTTTTTAGATACACGGTAATTTGGTATTACTTGTACGGCAATATTTTTTAACATATCAAAATCAGTATAAGCAATTATTACAAATTGACTAAAATAATAAAAAAAAATTGTATTTTGTTTGATGCTTCTTTCCGTTTATACTGCATGCACTAGAAATTCACATATTTTTTTTTGGTTGGTTTTGTTTTGATTTTAATGTGACTAGATTTAATGAATTTTTTAGGAGTAGTTGAACTACGTAGACCTCGTTGAACCACTTCTCTAGTTAACTACTAGAGGTGGAAGAGAAGTTGACCCCTCTTTAAACTTTGCATTTATTTAGTTGAGCGAGATGACAGCTGATTTAACTGAGGAGCAGAATGCTTCAACAATAGCTACGGAGAGATTAGAAACAGAACAGGTAAGCGTACCGAGAGCCGTTACAATGTCGTCTTCTGCATTCACATAAACATAAACCTTTCCCTTTCAAAACTAGGATTGATTAAATACAGGGTTACACACAAAGAATGAGACTGTAAAGACGACCTGAAACTCATAAAATATGATTTTTCCGATGCTAATTAAGTCTTTTTTTCCTTAAATTGAACCATTTAATCACTCATTTATTGATTCAGCAATTGCAAAGAACCATTGAATATAAGAAAACAAACTGGGATAATTTCGTAGTAGTCTATGAAGTCTCATACAGTAATAACCAGAAAACCTGAAAAAGGAAGACGACTTTATAGCAATTTTTAATTGTATTTGATGTTGTTACAAAGCAAATAGTTTAATAGACACTTTACATCACAAATAAAGTTAAATGGGTCTATTTACACTGCACAAGTTTTGCATCCCATGCATATTGGAGTATTTAAAGTCATAATTCGTCTTCCTATTCCAGAGTTTACTGGTTTTCACCTTTTGTGGGTAACCCTGTATATTGGAGAAAACAGTACTTAACATCATTTTTCCTTTTTATACTATGTCTGTAAATGTCGTCTTCTCAAAATAAGTATTTAACTATTTTTCTTATTTCATAGAAAGATAAGGAGCTTTGTTGGAGTAAATTATTCCATATATTTTATGACAAAGGATTAGAGTCTTGACACTCCTTCTAAAGTTGTTTTACATGTCTCTTTATTATTGCATTTAAAAGTCGTCTTTATTTCCATATTATTACTACGACATAAAGTCGTCTTCATTTCTTGATTTTGGTTTCGGTTAACTCAAATGTCGTCTTCCGTCACAAAAAATAATTAAATTGTATTTGTTAAGGCGGAGAGGATGAAATTGGAACGGGAAAAGGCAGATCTAATCTCCAGGAATAAAACTCTAAATTCAAATGCAGAAAGGTAGCCCATAAAGATTTTTAGTTCTTGTCAGTTTTTAAAACGAGTTGTTTGATCATTTCTACATTTTGCCGAATTAATTGATATATTTTTACAATTAATATTTAATTTTCCCTTTGCTAGATAGTTTTAAAGAATTCAAGTGGTTAAGATATAGATTAAATTATGAGTTAATTGTAGGCCGTTTCCTATCGGAATTCCGTTGTGCGGAGTTGTGCGCAATTGCGTGGAATTTTGAGGGCTCGCAATAGCACACAAGTAAAATCCACTTGCGTTGGAAACACTAGTTAATTGTCACTCACTTAATTATGAAAGGTCGGATAAAATTCTCATAAAAAAATGAGTATAACTTTTTCAAACAGGCCTATTTTACTCGGAAAGTTATTTAAAAACAATAATAAATAAAAAAATTTCTTTGTAACAAATACACTTAATTATTGCTTTATTGTAGTCTTCCTATTCCAAATTTTTCTGGTTCTCACTGTACTATAGAAATATAACAGAAAAAATCATTTCATATTGCAAAAGTATAAACAATAACGACATTCCACAGTTTTTTAAAAATTACTTATACAAATTTTTAATTATTAAACTTTTTTATTTTAGTTTTAATTGTCAACAAGTTTTTTCGAACTACAAGTTTACCAGTAATCAAAGAGAAGCTTTTTTATTTGACAGCTTCTCTTGACTTCTATGTTTATGTGTATCCATGCTGTTTAACAGCTTTATAAGAATCAAAATTAAATCTAAAGTCGTCTTTATTATAGTGATACATGCAACGACGACTGTATGATTAATTTTATTAGGTATGAACTAGAACTGATGCACTCTAGAGCACTGGATATCAATGGATTAGAGGATGGAGATGGGGGAGTATACAGGTATTCATTGATTTGATCCATTTATCCTGTTTATTCACCTTTTGTATTTATCCTTTATTTCTTTGTAAAACTAAAAAAGTACAATTTGAACAGTTCGATTTTTCGAACACACTGATTGGGCTTAGTAAAACTATGTGAGGTGCACTTAGTCCTCCTTTTGGCGGAAATTCTGTTCCTCTGTCCTTCTGTCCGTCCTATTATCCTGGAAATCTATTTAATCAAATATACAGGACCAAGACGAGTTGAAGGTCGTCTTGCTTTTTGATATAATTTGCTGCATTTATTCGCCAACCTAATTTTAGAAGTAAAATTCTAGAGATAATAATCACAAAATACCCCTAGTCCTACCAATGTGGTCTACCTTTTTAGTGCTTTCAATATTGCCGAGATATGAGGAATTTCTTTCAGATTTCGACAATTTTTATTTTATTTAACAAAATTGAAATCTGAACAAAATTCTTAATATCTCCGGTAATATTGAAAGCACAAAAACCCGCTTTTCGAAAATGACAGAGACAGAAAAATTATGTGAAAATTGTTTTCAGAATCATTCATGTTAAAGTAGGCTGACGACTGAATGTCACAAATAAATTCAAACATCAAAGACGACTTTCAAGTCGTCTTGCTACTGTCATGTTTCGTAGGACACCCTGTAACTAACAGTAAAAAAATAATTTTCAAAATAATTAAAAGTCTTTTTTAGGACATATTAAACTGGCACAATGACAACACATTTATATTGTTGAAAGGTTTTCTTCGTGTTATCTGTTTCACATCAATTAATACATGTTTGGTTTTAATAGTCGATTTTTAATCATGATTAAAAGGAAAATTTTATTAAATTATGTTGTTGTGTCTGTCTTTGTAATTGTAACCCTGAATTTACAGGATGTTCTACAAAAAAAGTATTAAATATTTGAAATAAACATCTTAAAAAATAGTATGATATATTGTCGTTTATTGAGACACCCTGTATATTCTGACGCGTGTATATATATGCACAATGCAATGACATTCTACCCCTAGAAGGATGGATGCATAGATTGAATATTGTGCACGCACACCTTCCTTTTATCCAGCCTAGATCTACATATCCTAGTATTCAGTATATTCATCAAAACTATCAACCTTTCCTACATATATTTATCTATCTATCTATCTATCTATCTATCTATCTATATATCTATCTATCTATATATCTATATATCTATCTATCTATATATCTATCTATCTATCTATCTATCTATCTTTATATCTATCTATCCATCTATCTATCTATCTATTTATCTATCTATCTATCTATTTATCTATCTATCTATCTATCTATCTATCTATCTATCTATCTATCTATCTATCTATCTATCTATTCATCTATTCAACCTAGATCTAATCCTAGTATTCAGTATATTCATCAAAACAATCAACCTTTCCTCTAAATAAATAAATCTATCTATCTATCTATCTATCTATTTATTTATCTATCTATCTATCTATCTATCTATCTATCTATCTATCTATCTATCTATCTATCTATCTGTCTATCTGTCTATCTATCTATCTATCTATCTATCTATCTATCTATCTATCTATCTATCTATCTGTCTATCTATCTATCTATCTATCTATTCATCTATCTAGCTTAGATCTAGTATTCAGTATATTTATCAAACAATCACCCTTATCTACATATATCTATCTATCCATCTATCTATTTATCTATCCATCTATCTAGAGTAAAGTATGAGAGAGCTATGAAGGATACATATCTATCAATCTATCTACAATTCTTCTAAATCTAACACTCTCAAATCTGTGAAACAAAAACTCTTTTTACCAAATTTTCGGTTTATTTAACCATCTTCAGAGCATATTCTTGCTTTATTTCGAGCAAAGATTAACTATCTATCTATTTATCTATCTATTTATCTATCTATCTATCTATCTATCTATCTAGAGCAAAGTATGATAGAGCTATGAAGGATATAGATCTATCTTTCTCTCTATCTATCTATTTATCTATCTTTTATCTATCTATCCATCTCTATCTATATATATCCATCTATTTGTATATATATTTATCTATCTATCTACATATCTAAATCTATCTAGAGTAAAGTATGAGAGAGCTGTGAAGGATATGGATCACATTAAGAAGATGATGGCCCAGCAGCATGAAGACGACCTCGAGCAGCTTGGTATGCTCAAGAAACAGCTCGAGAAAAAGGTCTGAAAATTGTTTTAAATTTAACTTAATTTCATTTCCTAACCTTTATTAGTTTGCTCAGAGTAAGCAGTCAAATATATGCTTCATTTAGGGTAGCAATAGTGAATTGACACAGGGGCGTTTTGGAGGTTAACTTTGAGTTTTTAATTACCCCGCCCCCCCCCCTCTAACGCCCCAGAGTGGTATGTAGTCCCAACTACAGGGCTAATCATTATACATCAGAAGCACGCAATTACAAACTCTTTTTATATATTATTGCAATAAGTTTCTTTCAACTTGAATTTAAGTAAGTAATTTAAGTATTCATCGTTGTTCACCCCCTAATAAACCGGTATTAAGAAAAAAATTATAAATTTTTTAATTCATTACTAATGACATTTAACTTAAAATGGACACCTGGAAATAAGGGTAACCTAGGGGACCTGGGTTTTCGCCCATATGGACAGGCTTGTTATCACTTTTTTGCATTCAATTGTTTTGAGCTTTTAGGTTTTATCTTTAAGATTGATTATACTTACACTAATCCAATATAATACCCGATGTCCAAGCCAATATGCCTGACTGGATCTAATACTAAAATGTTTAATTTTCATGCGGATTGAAAAAGATCTTATAAGTTTTTTAAGACCGTAACATTATTAACGTAGTGTTAACAAAACAACTAGAAAAATACAATTTAAAATTTTCCTGCGTCAGAATTTATTGAATTTGAGCCGCGTCTCAAATCCACCAAAAACCTGGTTCATTTGAACGCCGGTTTAAATCTTGAAATATTGAATAAAATCTTATGTGGAACCAACCATTTGAGCCGCGTCTCAAATTTAAGCCGCGGCTCTAATTCTTTAAACTCGGCCTCTGGGTGTGTTTGAAAGCTTAAACAAATTAAATGTTTTAAAACGATTGGAATAGTTAAACGAGAAGGTTTACCCATCATCTACAAACCCTGCTACAACATAAAACAACGACGATCTTGGTTCTATTTGTTTAACATGTGTGTGTACTCCAATCTACAGGGCTAATCATTATACATCACAAGCACGCAATTAAAAACTCTTTTTATATATTATTGCAATAAGTTTCTTTCAACTTGAATTAAAGAATTTACATACCCCCCCCCCCTCCTCCCACTAGACGATGTAATTTCATGATTCACACCGCCCTCTACACTCCCTTCACACCCACTCAACCTTTAACCAGCTCCGCCCATTCAAGCAAACTTTAATTGAGGAGGGTCAATCAAAGGGACTGTAAGCGTAATTGCAAGGGCAATGCCCGATTTACATAGACAGCGGTACCTTTGTCTGATCAAGTTTGAACTAGATAATGATAGCCATGTTTTTGTTTCTTTAAATTGTTTATTTTTATTTGCGCTTTTTCTTCTGTAGTTAAGTAGTTAAGGTTTTAAGGGTATTGTTGTAAATCGGGCATTGCTATCTTTGCATGGAAGGTCACTTGAAATTACACTTACAGTCCCTTTTAAGAAAGTACATGATTTTAAAACCAGATTTACTTTTCTCATCCTTAGATCTTTGCAATTTAATGTCGTAGACAATTCATGTTTAAACTATAAATTCTGCTTTTTCAAATAACTATCAAACTATCAGGTTGCAATGATATTGGTATTAATCCCTAAATCTTAGTAACCTGATGGTGGTAACTTTTGAACAATTAGATCTAAATTCATAGTTGGCATGTTTCTTTTAAGTTGCCCTTCCTTTGCTTGATTTATCTATTCTAAAATTGGTTTAAACTAATCTCGCTGCCTACCCTCTTACTCCTCCTTACCTTTTCCTTATTTATTTAAACAAACAGTATTAAAGGGATTGGTATTAAAAAATAAAGCATATCAGTGCTATCTATGAAAGTATCAATATGGTCCGGACTCCGGAGGTGATGCCCAATTTTTTATTTTTGAAAAGTTGAAAATGAAAATTGGTAAGTTTGTCCACACTTTTTCATACTTTTCACACAAAAACTAAATTGAAAAGGCAAAATTTAGATTGATTTTATGTCGTCTTGCTGTTCCACTTGATTTATAATTTCTTGCCGGAAATATTTTTAAATTAATAGATCTTAAAAAAATGTTGCCGCTTGTCTGAGTTGTGTTTAATGATTGTGAACTTAAACGTTTTATGTTTACCCAGCACCAGTCCGCCATATTGGAAATTCAATTAATCATTTCTAACTAATATCAATCAACTAATCATTGGGGAAGACGACTTTTATAGGTGTCAGAATGTAGGGTTCCCTCAAATGATGAGACTTTAATAACAACCTGATTTTCTTTAAATAAAAGGATCCAAATGTTAAGTTGTCTTTTGTTGGCTGCGTCGAGTCGGAGATAAAAACTTTTAAATTTTAAAGTTCATGAGATTTATAAACGTTCAAATGTTCAAGATATTATTGATTAAACTTCCAAAATTTCGACCGACAATGAGGGATCGATATTTATTAATAATGTAAAGAAAGGTTTAAACCCTGGATTAGAATTATCTAAATCTATTTATTTAAAAGGTTCCAGCTTAGTTCATCATGTTTGTTCTCACTTTAACGCTATGAAATGTACATTTTAGGAACTGCTATAAATTGTATTTAATCTGTATTTTCATAATATTAGCAGGTTCCCTTCCCTGCATATAGGTTTTATAGGCACTAACTCAAACCTTGAATTTAAGTTTGGAACTATTTTTCTCCTGAATTGTTGCCTGCAGGCCATAGTTTAGGATTCAAGCATTTTATCCTTTATGCATATCTTAAAATTCAATTGTTTGAATCAAGTCTTGTAGCATGTCGACAAAGCTCAACAGTATAGAATGACAGACATTAATTATTCTTTTATAGTTTTTATTCCCCTTTCCTCATCCTAAACTTGTCTTCCCTTCTCTCCCCTTCCCTCCTAAGCTTTCCTGTCCCTTCTTCCCCTTCCCTCCTACACTTGTCTTCCCCTTCTCCCCCTTCCTTCCTAAACTTTTCTGCCCCTTCTTCCCCTTCCCTCCTAAACTTGCCTGTCCCTTCTCCCCCCTTCCTTCATAAACTTTCCTGCCCCTTCTCTCCCGTTCCCTACTCTACACAGCTTCTTAATCTCTCATTACATCTAAGGATCTGAACTCAAATAATAGTAAATAATTAGAATCTGATATGCATAAGTAAATGTATAATGGTTGTTCATTCCACCCACCCTCCTACTATCTCATTTTTTCTTTTATGTAATTATACTTTAATTTATTCGCTTTTTATTCTGTTTTAAATTGCCCTTTCCCAATTCTTTTGCCCTTTCATTAGTATTCTGACTTTAACCCCCTCCTCCCCCCTTAAACTTAGTACCAAATTCAGCCCTTCTTTTTCCCCTGCCATATAAGGCCAGCCTTTCCAAGTATGCCAGCATAGTATTTTCATGAATTATTAACATTTTACATAAATTTTACTTCAGGGTTAAATTATCACCAACTTACAATTATAATATTCAAATAAAATCCCAAGAATCCCAAAGTGGGAAAAATTAGAAATACTGTAACACAATGAAGATAATTTTGTATAATTTAGTAATTATCTTTTTATACAAATTTTTTTTTTAAATTGTTAAAAAATATTTGAAATTTTTTTAAACACCTAATTTTTAAGGATATCCATTTCCCCCCCCCCTTTCCACACCTTTCCATCATCTTGTGATAGGTTGCCTGGGAGTGACATCTCATTTTATTTCAATTAAACTCCTCCATTGCACAAACCTACTCTGGCTTGTGGGTTGGGTATTTGCAAGTTTCTTTCTTTTGGCAACTAATCAATTCTAAGCATGCTGTCATAGTTCTCTGTTCAAGTTGTACAATTGTAAAGTTTATCAATGGTACATTAACTGACAATGCATATGTAAATGTTCAGATTTTTATGTTCATTGTTCATTTAGTTTTGTTATATAATTATTATTTAGACCTTTTAATTTCAAATAACCAAAAAAAGCTACACATGACTTAAAAGTGAGTTTTGTCTAAATATTTATTATTTCTAGTTAAATGATGCCTATGAAGAGGTGGACGAACAGCGGCAGGTGGGAGCCCAATGGAAAAGAAAAACGCAGAAAATTCAGGTAAAGATTTTTTTCAAAAGATCATCACAATAAGTATGAGTTTTAGTGACAAAAATTAAAAACTATGAATGTAAGTCTTGAAGTTTAAAGATTCCATTTTTAAATTATAGTGTTAACCTTTATGAGACTTCAGAGGCGGTTGTATGGAATTCAAGGTGTCTGTTACATTATATTCATGATTCCCTGCAACTTTAAACTTGTTTCCTTACTTGCCAAACAAACTTGTGGGTAACATTGTACAAGGTTAAACATTTTAATTTGAATTGTTATACTGCTGTTGCTAAGTCATCTGATGGCATTACATGAACAGGCTGTTGAGAGAAATAGTTTGCTCTGGGTTGAGAAGAGTAGTATTTAGATCTTGATTGTTGAAGATATGTATTAGACATGGTTCTTCCTGATATTCCTGTTCGGGATTTTGGCAGAGGAGATATTGCTCTTCTTGGTGGAGGTGGTGGGGCTATGGGGGGTGATAGGAATGGTGGAGGAGATGGCAAGGATGGAGAAATCATGTCTCTGTAGTAGGGCCCAGGAGAAATAACACCTCTAACTGGTTTTTTGGGCTGAGGGACCCTTGGGTGGTAGGATTCACTAGACATCCCTGAACTAAAAGGTCCTGCACTGTAAGGTTCCGAAAGAGTTTGGGATTCAGTGCTATCAATAGTATATCTACTGGCATCACTCATTTCTGATCCCAGGTCAGATGTTGAATCTGTATCAATGCTCTGCTCATCCTTCTCCCTCCTCCATCTGATGATGTATAAAACTGTTAGAGATGCTGACATAAGGAGGACAGCTCCAAGAAGAGTTCCTACAATTACAGGAAGAATAATTGAAGGAACCACCTCTTTTACCAATGTGAATGTTGCAGAATCTGTCCCATAGGAGTTTTCAATGTCACACTTGTATTCTGTGAAATCATCATGGGTGCTTTTTTTTACTGATAATGTACTTACTACCCCATCTGCTTTAGCAGTTTGATCAACACCATATTTTGCTGATGCTCCATCAACAGCTTTGCCATCCACATACCAGCTTACTTTCGTTGGAGATGGTATGGCAAATGAATCACAAACCAGTTGAGCAGTATCACCCTCTTTGCCTATCTGAGAAGCTTGGGATTCTTTATTCAAGATGTTAGGGGGTCCTTTCATGTAGATTATTGCAGACGTTGAGATTTCTTCAAATCCTGTGACTGAAACTCTGCAGTAATATTTACCAATGGAACTTTCATCAATTGTTATATCTAGAGATTGTTTATCTCCAACAACATGATTCACATTTCCATTTCTATACCAGATATAAGTTGGCTTTGGAAAGCCATCAGCCTTACATTTCAATGTGACCTTTACCCCCTTATCATCTGAAACATCAGACGGAGTCTGGGTAAATATTGGTTTGTAGTTAACTTTTGGCTTTACTGAAGCATCTCCAACTTTACCTTCTAGATTTCTCACTTGGCACTTTACTTCAACATTGTGCTCGGCCCTTCCAATGCTTTCTATTTCATATTTCTCAGTTTGACTTCCAATTAGAGGAACATTATTACTAAACCAAAGATAAGATTTCACTGCTGGGTTACTAGTGGCAGCACAGGTAAAAGTCACTTTATCCCCCTCAAATATTTCTGCAGGTTCTACTGTTACCGTCACCACAGGGGCATACTTGATGTTTAAAGTAATTGATGCTCTTAATGGTGTATCTAACGCATCACTAGAAGTTTCACATATTATATCTGAATTGTCATTAGCCTTTGTCACATTGAACCTGATAACAGAAGTTACAGTCATCCTTTTCCCATCTGGCAGTGTCTGACTGCCATCTGTTATATTAGAGTTCTCAACTGTAGTATTGTCCTGATTCAACCATCTAAAAAATCATTTTCTAGGAGAAAATATTTTAATTGGGTAATATAAATTTTCTACCTGATTTTAACTTCTGGCCGTCCTCCTGATGAATAACATTCAAGGCTGATTTCTGTATCCTCAGTTGTGTTCAGAGCATTTCCATTCAAAATCAATGGGGGGTTTGGAGGCACTAGAACATTTATTGTAGCTGATTTTGATCTCATGGAAGGAAGAACATTTGTTGCAAGGATCTGGCATTCATATATAGCATCATCATCAATCTGGATATTACTAATCTCCAAGCTGTATTCTCCTGTAAAAGAAAAGTAAATTCATTTACGCTAAGAAAAGTTTACTTGTATTTTTTTTTCTATTTCCAAAAGCTTTGATTAGCGTATACTTAATCCCTGCTGAATCTGCGCCAATCATCTTGTATCTTGGATATCCGGAGAGATCTCTGGTAACGTCCAACCCAAAACCATCCTTTGTCCATTGTACTTCACCCTGTCGATCTTCCACCTTGCAAACTGCACAAAGCTAATTTTATAACATGTTTGAAAAAAGCTTGACTATCAATGTATGGGTTATAGTTTTAACATCGTTAAGTTATTTATATCAAACCATCATTAAATTGTGTTTATTAGTGGCTGGGAAATTTAAATAAATAAAGACCAATACAAGAAATGTACCGCAGAATTCCCTTTACCTAGTTTTCTAGAGGAATGTAAACAAACAAGCTGATTTCCTCCTGAAACTGCATTGCACTGTTTTGTAAATAAAGATATGGAGGTTCTAGGTTTAAATAGAGTTACCTAAGATTTTTGTATCTCCAATGAAAGCTGTTGCATCGGAGGGTTCTGTGATGAATCTCTGGACACCATTGAGAAGTTGAACCTGTACAAGGAGCAGGAATAGTTTATCACGGTACTGCATTATAATCATTGTACACTGTACACTGTACACTGCACGCTAGGAACTGATCTGTGCTAGACTGAGGTGTTGATAGTGTTGAGTTTCACAGGTTTGATAGGAACCCAGGGGATTGAATATATAGGGGAGGGGTTGGGTTATCACAAACATATTCTTTTAATAACAAATATATTTGTCTAATGTTTATTTTTAAGGATAATAATATGCCATCTTGTGTAGGGTGAGATGAATGACCTGAGGTTGTTACTAGAAGAGCAGACCAGTAGGAATTCATTGCTGGAGAAGAAACAAAGAAAATTTGATGCAGAGCTTGCGATGGTATGTACAAGTATCTAGAGATATAAAGTTGTAATCTCTGTTTGTCTGTCTGTCTGTCTGGCATGACATTGAGCATCTGGAGCTAGCGATGGTATTTACATTGTACAATTAAATTATTTTAAGGGTTTTAAAGAAACTGTTCAACTTTTTGAAAATAAGTATAAAAACATTAAGTTTTTACCAGGAACACGCTCTAAAATATCTATGAGGGCGACAATATAAGGAACAAGTTGTTGCTCTTGGTTTATACGGGGTTTTATAAATATGTTTTGCTCAAAACACATTCCAATACAATTGATAACATAATATATCAAATCTTTTAAAAAGGTTTATTTAGTTTTTTATCTCCATTAAAAATAAAAATAAATGTTAACACGAAAACTAAGTTTTCTGACAGAACAAAGCTAAGATTATTTTGACAGAAAGCAATCGAGTCTTTTCCACAAACTCAAATTTTATAATCGTTATGTCTGATTTAAAACTTTGATATCATAATATCAGATTATTTAATCTAGCAGAATCTAAGTTTGAAATATCTAAAATCTACGAAATTAGGTTGCAACGATATAGGGATTATAAAACTACAGTTTGTGACGGGACTAAATTCTTTTTCCAACATTCTGACTCTTTTGGATATGATTTGAGCTTTCACAATTTAAAAATTTGGATATGATATCATATTTTTAATGATTTTTTAAAAAGTATCATAATGGTATTAGACATAATTTGTTCAAAATGGTGAACCATAGTTAAATTGGTTTTTATGCATAAATATTCCTAATTTTAGAGTTCTTTTAAAAACTCCCCGCCCCTCCCAATGTTTGATTTTTTTTAATCCCAAATTATCTGGTTTTTTAGCGTTGTGAAAGGTTATTTATCGACCTTGTTAAATAAAAATCATGTCTTCCATCTAACTCACCCCCCCATCCTCCCTAACTGCATGACTCATATACTGCCTTGAGTCTCTACACTTCCTATCTAGGCACCTTATTATTGTGCAGTATGTTCAAAAAAAATATTTAATTTTTTTAAAATTTTAAATGTATCTGTTCCTAAAAATATATTAAATCTGGACTCTGATGTATTTAGATTATTAATGAACAACGTACGTAGTACGTACATTGTACAGTATATGGTCGACCTTGAGTTAAAACTTTTTTGTACATTCCGCATGCAGAAGAGTTGTATAGACTATAGACCAATTCCATGCATATATACTATACAGTTCAAATTCAATATTCAACTTTTTATTGAGATAGTCGCTATTATCATATATCTATATGCTGTGTACATATTTGGTGTGTACATTGTGCAATGGACAATATGCATTCAGATGCGTTGAAAGTGTGAATCGAAGGGCATCTTGCACTAAACGATTTTATAGGTTTAGCAAAAATGGCATACCCATTTTTTGTTGTCTCTTTTTCCTGTCTATTTTCTCTGTTTTTTCAGTATTAGGTAGTTCTAAAGTTTTCAATTTGAATCTACTAAATTGAGATAAAATTTTATCCACAAACCACTGTTTTAAAACATTCTAAATTAGGCTTTAACGTTTTAACTGGAAAGCTTCGGGAAATTTTTTAAAATTCTGAATTACATGTTTGAAACATATCAAATCTATTTAAAATATATTTAAATCTTTAAAAACATATTTATATCTGTTTAAAACAATTCAAAACTATTTAAAACATTGCCATTTTTAAAGGAACTGAGTTGTAGCCACAAACCAAGTTTTCCCAACAGTCCATCTTAGCAACCTAATTATGTAAACCTTTGATATTTCAAGCTTAGATTATGTTATCTAACAGATTTCATAGTTTGAAATATCAAAGGTCTACGAAATTGGATTGCAAAAATCATAGTTTTATGCAATTTCTTTGTTTTGAACCGCGAAGCTATTTATAACTGTTTGAAAATGCTGGGGGACTATAAAACCAGGATACGCTTGGGGGGGCAACTATTGCCCCCCCCCTCTTAATCCCATGTTTGATGTTTAAATATGACAAATGATAAATCATTGGAAAGCTCGTATGCTCTACTTTAAGAATCTGAAGAAAAAAATTGCAAATGAATTGAGTCTTTGTAACAAGCTCTGATTTTCTGATACCTATATTTTTTACACAACCGTTGATATTTCAATCTTAGATTCTTTCATCTAACAGAATGCATAGTTTGAAATGGCTAAGGTCTACGGCATTGAGTTGCAAAGATATAGAGATTAGAAAATCAGAGTTTGTGACAAAGACTTAATTCCTTTGCAAAAATTATTTTTTTTTGCAAAATCCAGTTATATAATAAAATGTTTTCAAAACTAAAAATGTCCCAAAAATAATAAAATATACGTATTTGAATTTGCAAGAATTTCTTTGCAAAACGTGTGCAATCCGTTTCCTTGAGTCATAGGCTTTCCAAAAAGCTAAAAATTATCAAAATCTGACAACTAAAAGTGGGTCAAAACAAATATTTAGTTTGTTACAGGAAAAAATAGTCATTCAGGCAGTGTGCCTGAGGACACAGGCAGTTAGTATAAAAGCCCGGTTTTAGACCTAAAGGGAGGGCTATGATTATTTAGGAAAAGTCAGAAAATTTCCACAGCATCAGACCAATACTTTTTTGAGCTATGTAAAAAAAAACCTACAGGGTGGGGTAAAATTACAACCCCCCCCCACCTCCCCAGCAGGAATATGGTTTAAAATTTTTGTAACTGTTTTAAAAACTTGTTTAAGCATGCTCGAAACAATTTGTAACTGTTTTAAAAACTATTTTGAACATGTTTAAAACTTTTTAAAACTGTTTTAAACACTTGTTTGAACATGTTCAAAACTGATTATAACTGCTTTAAAAACTTGTTAGGACACGTTTAAAACTGATTATAACAATTTTATAAACTTGTTAGGACATCTTCAAAACTGATTATAACAGTTTTAAAAACTTGTTAGGACATGTACAAAACTGATTATAACTGTTTTAAAAACTTGTTTGAACATGTTCAAATCTGATTAAAACTGTTTTAAAAACTATTTGAACATGTTCAAAACTGATTATAATAGTTTTAAAAACTTGTTAGGACATGTTCAAAACTGATTATAACAGTTTTAAAAACTTGTTACGACATGTTCAAAAGTGATTATAACTGTTTTAAAAACTTGTTAGGACATGTTTTAAACTGATTATAACTGTTTTATAAACTTGTTTGAACATGTTCAAAACTGATTATAACTGTCCCAGAGTTCAATAATCTATTACTGAATACTTAAGGTCAAAAAGATCAAAGCCCGATGGCGGGACAGGAGGGGTTACAGGGGCGTTTCCAGAGGGGATGTAGCCGTAGGTGGTAAATACACTCCCTACAAAAGTGATAACTATCGTTCCCAACCTAAAATAGACACCCTCCCCTCTTGAAAAGTTTTTAAAAAATAGTTCAGCCCCCCCCCCCATCTTTCACAAATTCCTGTATACGCCCCTGACGGGGTTACAACCAATAATTTGATATGTGGCTTCAATACTTAGATTTATTAATGTATTTGACAAAGAACCTTTTTTTCTAATCGTAAATGTTTATTTTCATCTATTTAGTTAGAAATTAGGGTTCAGAGAGTCAATTGAGATAAGATTTCAAGATTGAGATTTTCAGATTGAGATGTTCAAATTGAGATGTTCAAATTGAGATGTTCAAATTGAGATATTCAAATTGAGATGTTCAAATTGAGATATTCAAATTGAGATGTTCAAATTGAGATTTTCAGATTGAGATTTTCAAATTGAGATTTTCAAATTGAGGTTTTCAAATTGAGATGTTCAAATTGAGAGGTTCAAATTGAGATTTCAAATTGAGATGTTCAAATTGAGATGTTCTAATTGAGATTTTCAAATTGAGGTTTTCAAATTGAGATATTCAAATTGAGATTTTCAAATTGAGGTTTTCAAATTGAGATGTTCAAATTGAGATGTTCAAATTGAGATGTTCAAATTGAGATGTTCAAATTGAGATGTTCAAATTGAGATTTTCAAATTGTGGTTTTCAAATTGAGATGTTCAATTTTAGATTTTCAAATTGAGATGTTTAAATTGAGATTTTCAAATTGAGATTTTCAAATTGAGATTTTCAAATTTTGCAATTTTTAGAACGATTTTCTCCTGGAAAAGTATAACTTAAGATCAAATTAAAATTTTTGAGGGTTTGATGTTATGCACATTGTTTTGATTTCATTTTTTTGCTGACTATGGTTCTATTTTACTATACAACCTGTTTTTGCATATTTTTAAAAATACAGATCAGGTTACTTTTTATACTCGTGTACAACTTGATTCTTTGCTCCCAGGAAACAGAAATCGGAACTTAACATCTTATGGCATAAAATCTACGGCCTGATATCGATATCCACAGTGAAAACTTTTGATTCAAAGCTAAATCCGAAAAAAATTGAATCTTAACTTTGTATCTCTCAGCGTCAGACTGGTCCGACCTTTAAAAACACCGCAAAAAAACTTAACTTCGTCTGTCGTTCTGTAAATTATACGAATTTTGTTTTTAAATCAATTAACAACTAAAATTAAGCTGGGTTTTTTCTATATTTTTTGTATTCTAGGTGCAGGAGGACAGACGGCAGGATCAGCTGGCGAAGGAGAAGGTGCAGAAGGACCTGGAGCACCTGCGCCAGGAGAAGAACAGGATGGAGGATACCATGAAGGTAGGAGATATCCCTTTCAGGAGTTTTTTATCTCACATGTTGCATTGAAAACCCCGGTTTATTAATTAAAGCATCAGATCGACTTCGAGGTAAAAAGAGCTGAAAACTCGATTGCTTAATCTTGATATCCACTCTGGACACTACTGATTTTCTGTTTCATGCTCTCTTTCGGATATCCCTACTGGATTCCGACCATAGAGCAATTTGTACAGTATTCACACTACAGAGGCTAAACGGGACGGTACACCGCGGATGAATCATCCCCAATATTCTTTTATTAGTGAGTTTAATGTACTTTACTAGCTGTGTTTGCACAGATACAACCCTCCTCCCCTTTGGTCTTACCCCCCCCCCTTGTTTATACCCTCCCCCATTTAGCATGTGTATTTACGACCAATATTCAGTGTTTGAAGTATGTGGCTTTTAGTGGCTTTAAAATATACAGTAACACTAGGATACATGTATAAACATACATAATAACATATACAGACACATACAGACATAAACATACAATCAACATATACAGACACATACAGACATAAACATACAAACAACATATACAGACACATACAGACATAAACATACAAACAACATATACAGACACATACAGACATAAACATACAAACAACATATAAAGACACATACAGACATAAACATAAAAGCAACATCTTCAGACACATACAGGCATAAACATACAAACAATATATTATGCAGACACATACAGCTGCATAAACATACAAACATTATAACAACATGTACAGATACATACAGACAAAAACATAAAGACAACATTTACAGACACATACAGACATAAACATACAATGATACAAGCAACATCTTCAGACACATACAGACATAAACATACAAACAACATGTACAGACACATACAGACATAAACATACAAACAACATGTACAGACACACACAGACATAAACATACAAACCTTTCCATAAACATGTCAATATTTACTGAAATGTACAGGCATACGTTAACATACAAACCTTTACATAACAAACAAACATTTTACAGAAAAATACAGACATAAACATAAAAACAACTTGCTTAGACACATACAAACATAAACATACAACAAAGATTTACAAAAACATACAAAAAAGATTAACAAAAAAATACAAAAAAGATTTACAGAAACTTACAATTATGGTTACAGAAACATAAGGTAAACAATTAAAGAACATTTACAATGAGAGAAATAAGCATTCAACCAATTAAAATGCACGGGAAACCTACTGATGATATAAAATACAAACAGAACAAACAAAAACAATAAAAACCATAGAAACAAAAATACCAAAAATACCAAAAATTGCAAATAGTATTTGTGCCCATTGCAAACAATTTGACATACAAAAATTTAAATGGAACGTTTTTTAAATTCATAAGATCTGATGATTTACAACTCCCCCCCCCCCCACCCCTATTATAGCCTATCCTAACTCATTCCCCATGTATCTATACTAAGGAAGCAATAGCGGATACTACAGCAATTACTGGGAAGGATGTACTCGTAAACTACACAAACCTTCATAGACAAGATTAAAAACCGTTCATAATATATGATTATAGACATTAACCCCCCCCCCCCCTCCTTCTCTTAAAGGGACTGTAAACGTAATTTCATGTAACCATCCATGCAAAGAAGAAAATGCCTGATTTACATTGGTTCCCCTAATAGAGTTTTTCTGATCAAGTATTACTCAGATGTCCATGTTTTGTTTATTTAAATCGTTTATTTTGATTTTTGGTTCTCTCCGCAAAAGTGACTTGCGTATTTCTTGCTTATAAGACACAACGGAGAAATTCACAGAAATAATTACACTTCTCGAGTCGGAAAAACGACGCTAGCTTCCATTTTGTTCAGGTTAAGGTTTGAATGGTACCGTTGTAAATCGAACATTGATATTCTTTGCATGGTGGGTCACTTAAAATTACGCTTACAGTAATTTTAAACAGCCTCTAATTGCGCCTCGTGGCGTAATATTAATTAATTTTTATCTTTTTAATCTTTCAATTATTATTTCTTATCTGCTAATTATACTTAATGCAATGATTGGTTTTAAAGTTGGTTTTAATTGCAAAGACTTTCTCCGGCCTTATTATTAAATTTATTAACCTCATTCATACCTGAAATTAGTTAAATCAAGTTATTGCTCATTTATTTGTGGTTTATAAAAGTTAAAGGGAAGGTTTGCAATTCTAACAAGGAAAATATATTTATATATAAAAATTATTGGAAATCAGGATTAAAGAATGGAAATCTACGAAAGATAATGATTGATTGATTTTAAATTTGTGAAAAGTTTTGTTATTAATTTGCACTTTGTTATATCTTTTTTANCCCCCCCCCCCCCCCCCTATTGGCTTCAAAGCCATCCCGCATTGCCTTCCTTTCTCTTCTTAAATCTTTTAATACGTGAAAAGGTTTTTAGATAAAAAATATTTGGTTTTAATTTTTTGACTATTCTCTTAGAAATGTATTGTTATGCTTTACTTTGTGTACCTTACTCCTAGTCCTTTAAGATTAAAAAAATAGAATAAAAGAATCTGACCGGCGCGGGTTCTTCTCAGAATTTTTCATCTTTTCTTTAGGTTCATTCATTTTTAGTACATGTATTACTCTGCAACTAGCAGGTCTAGCCAAGGCAGATTAAATGCAAGTTGGCCCGAAGGCACTCTGAAAATAATTTTTATTGCACACTTTTAAATCAACCCCCCCCCCCTGACCATGAAGCAAAGTCCACGATTCGTTGTCCAAAACACGTTTTGATTTATTGTAAACTTCTGGTTCAAGAATTCTGCTTAATAAACCAGCATGAAACCAACTTTAATGAACCAGGAATAGTGTATGGAGTACTACAAGGGGCTATATTAGGACCCTATTTAATTTTAGTAAATGAGCTTGAGCTAAATATTGCTAAATATTGATTAATGCCATAGTAAAACATGCGCTTTTTTATAAAGATAAATTATATTTGCAAATTTATTATTCTATAAACTAAAAAGTGGGCTAAACTTTGAATTAGATTTTTAAATTTTGATTAAATGTAATAAAAACTTAATTACTCTAATAAAAGCATAATTCCGAAAAGTCTTCATACTTAAATATTTCTTAACAGTGCAGCCTATATATACATATGTCTAAACCAGATTTAATCACGACTGTCTGAGGTCTAATGTATATGCAACACTTTATGGTACTTTAACGTGTACTTATCCATAATTGTATATTGGCTCTTCTACTAATGAGAACAATGCAGGAACTTGCAAGTTTTTGAGAAGTGGGGTCTGATTATGAAAATGGGTGTGGGGGTAGATAAGGACTGATTGAGGATAAATGGGAACTGATTAAAAGTATTTGAGGGCTGATTAGGTTTACCAGATAAAATGGACTAACTAGGGTATTTAGAGCCTGATTGGGTTTGTTTTAGCTGAATTGGACTGAAATTAGGGTTGTTGCGAGCTGATAGAAGTTATTGGATCTTAATAATCACTTATTTTTGGTTGCTTTCTGTGCTTATCAGTTTTATTTGGGCGGTTTTGGGATAGTATAGGGGGGGGGTTATATGGCAGCATGAGTTGTAATTTCTAGCTGATTCATTTAGGGCTAATTAGGATTCATTTGAAGCTTCGATGTTTCTCAGGAACAAGAGGACTGATTTGGTGCCGATTTTATGCGGTTCGATGGCTGATATGATAATTGGTGGCGTTTTTTTTTTGGTAAAAAAAACTACATTTTTTGGTTTTATTAAAAAAATACATTATATTACTTCCATCTCAACATTTTAAAAATAAATTTCTGATTTTCTAAAGAATGGTAGATTGGAAGAAGGAAGGAAGATGTTTATGCATGACTGAAAACTGATATTTGTATTGTAAAAACAGATACAAAAATACAGGAAGGGTTAGAACAGGTTTATTCAATGCTGTTCCGTGGATATAAATATTGTGGATGATATTCATACAGTGAGATCCAGAAAACTGGCGAGTAGGAAGACGACTGTTAGACTCAAAAAAGTCATGTTATGATTTTTTTATATTGCCATTTATTAACCTTCTTAAAAATCTATATTTATTTCAAGGATTACAGTGGGTTGTGAAAACAGTTGCACTTTACTGTACTTATGTTGTGTACATATTTAATATTATTTTCACCATTTAAAAGTGGTATGAAACATAGGAAATCTAAAGTGAGTAAATCTACATAGTATAGGAAAAAATATATTAACAAGTAAAAAATGAACAAATAAAATGATACTAATGAATCATGGAAAGCCGTAGCTCTCTGGCAGACGTTTGAAACTATAACTGTTTTATTAAAGAAAGATTTGAAAAAATTGATAAAAATGTTGTTCAAATCCATACGAATTTCATATTTATTTTACATTCTCTTGTGGAGTTGCTGCTTATTATTGAAAGTATAATTGTTTTCTGAAGCATGCGATGACTGACTATCAGTGGTTTGAAAATTGATTTAATGATTGAATCTCTTCAGTTTATCTTATGGGTTTTGACTTAATCCTCTGATTTAATCCTCCGATTTAATCCCCTGATTTAATCCTCTGATTCAATCCTCTGATTTAATCCTTCGATTTAATTCTCTGATTTTATCCTCTGATTTAATCCTCTGATTTAATCCTCAGATTTAATACTCTGATTTAATCCTTCGATATAATCATTGATTTTATCCTCTGATTTTATCCTCTGATTTAATCCTCTAATTTACTGATTTAATCCTCCCATTTATTCTTCTGATTTAATCTTTTGATTTAATCTTTTGATTTAATCTTCTGATACAGTAATAACGGCCATCGAATAGGATTAGAAATTAAAATGTGTTTGTCTTTTTAAAACTGCAAGAATTATTATGTTTAAATTTTTTTTTTATTACTGAAAATCCGGGGGGCCGGGAATAGCCCCAATATATAATGCCCCCATCCCTGGCCCTCTCACACGTCTCCGTCTGGCCAGCTGTTAAAACTATGTAACAAACAAAATTTTAAATAAACTTTTAATGAATTTGGGAGCTGTTATTGATGAATTGTATATGTGCCCCGGGTTAGGGTAGTAATCAGAAATTTTTCTATAGGGGAGTCTCATGCAACCTTTGCGGCTGAAAAAAAAAACCTAAAAATCATGGATTTCACAGATCTGAGCCCATATATAAACGTATCACTATCATTAAATTATCAGCTAAAAAGTGAAAGGGGAGAATGATAGATAGATAGATACATGGATAGACTGAGAGGCAGGGATTTAAAGAGAGAGAGAAATTGGACAGGTAGGGGAACTTGATGAAATGACCAGGGACCAAATATTTTAGTATTTATTTTTTCATTGATTAATTGGGTGAAAAATGTTTTAACACACCATTGGTGTGTATATTCATCTATTTGGATTTTTTTAACCCACCTCCCCCCTCACCTTACATAGGTGTTGTCCCTGAAAACCAGAGGTAGAATTGATCCTGCCGCGCCAAGGCGCTTTAGCTCAGACCCTCCCTCAGCTCAGAGTCAGTTCAGTTTACAGAGAGCGCCTAGGCGGTTGAACATGAGACACTAACCCCATCTTGCGGATAAACTTTACCAAGTCTAGAACCCAAAATCTTAACTGTTTCACAGTACATTGGGAACTGTTCCGAAAGGTGTGTTTTGGTGATTCTAAAACCAACCTGTTGAGTTTATTTATGGCGGCTTGAGGTGACACAGAAGAATTAAAAAGAAACAGGTTTAAGGCCAATATTCCTGATAATAAACTAGTTCAAACTAACATGTCTCGACTTTCAAGCTCTGGCCGAACGCCGATCAGTGAACGGATCAAGATATTCGACAAATCAGCTCAAATTCGTCCAACTCCGTCCACCCCGTCCAAGGTCAAAGTCGATACTGCCCCAGCTAGTCCAGTTCTCAAGCCGGTCAACGCTCCCCGATCTCAGTTCAGTGCTAAAGATCCGACGAACCCAAAACCTTCGGTTAAAAAGTCTCCGACAAATTCTATTTCATCGAGTAAAAGCGACTTGTCCCGCACCCCATCAAATGTTTCGACTAAATCAGATGTTTCTCGATCGCCATCAAACGCATCGACAAAATCCGACGTGAACCGGTCGCCTTCTAATGCATCTTCTAAGGCCGACGTGTCGCGAAGCCCTAGCTCTCCTCTAAATAAAGTCGACAAAACGACTAATGCTAAAAACTCTCCAAGCCTCTCCAAAAAGGTTGTATCTAGTCCTCCTAAAAAGACTCTTAAATCTACTCCCAGTCGAAGCACTCCTACTCATAAAGCGACAGTAACTCCTCCAAAACAAGAGGCACCTAAAACTACTTCTGTCGCACCCGCTTCTGTCGCTACTGTCGACATCGCCGTTAGTAATAAAGAGAACCATGTCGATTCTGTCGACCGAAAGGTGTCCGCTGTCACTGACGAGTTTAAATCCGTCGAAATCAGTCGAAAGAAAAGTTCCGTGTTTGAGAAGAAGGTTTCCGTCGTTCAAAGCGACATACTCGAAACCATCAGCGACACAACAGAAGTTTTATCTAAGAAATTGTCAACAACAGTCGACATTTTAGACAGTGAAGTAGTGATTGAGAAAAATAAAAGAAACCACAAAGTATCAAACGGTTTATCAGTGAACCATGTTGAAAATGTTCAACAAGTTGAAATAAAGCGTTCTAAGGAGGAATCGTATTGGGCAGATAAAGCCTTAAATAATCCCACGGCGGAGTCTATATCTAAGGTGAAGAGTGAGGTATAGGACTAAAGACTCAATCTTATCCTTCTCTTATCTATCCTTTTTCTCTCTTTAAAATGCATTTAGGGTTGTATATCTTCTCGAAAAATCAGTCCCCCCACCCCATTTGAAAATCCTGTTTTCAGAAGTTATATATGTTTGATTCTGGATTATATTCAGTGAATTGGTAAAAATCTATAAATTTTTGGTTATAGAGTATCAAAAAGAATGATAATAGTTGCCTTCTGATTTTCCCAAATCATCTTAAATCGTTTTTGTTTAACTCCCAAAGGGGGTAATTCAGAAAAAATTACACCCCTGAAAACATAAATTTTTTAACGAAATAATTGTTTAATTTTGTTTCTTGTTTCTAGGGTATGAAGATAGATTTGGAGAGTAGAGATGAGAAGATTTCAGCTCTAAACAGAGAAATATCAGACATCCAGATGGGAGGCGCAACAGAGGTAAAAATACTTTTTGAAGAAAAACTTTTTAAAAATTTGTTTATTTTGGTCCCAAGAAATTTTCAATAAAAATCGGTTTTATCGGAACCTTTGTGTGGATATTGAAAGCTTATTCTCGATATCTAATGTGGGCTTTTTTATATTTGAGGATCAATGCTTGATTACTCAATCACAGTGATCCTTGCGGGTTATAACCATCACAGGAAGAAGAATTAGATTAACCCACAGGACCTCAATGTTTGATCCCCAGACTCGCATTACAAAAGTTCTTATTTCTGTTTTAAAAAATTCCTTATCATTTTTTTTAAATATGGACCTACTGGAATCTTTTAGAAACCAGGACCATTTCGAAATGATCTCGGTTCGATATTTCGAGAAAAAAGGAGTTAGAAGTTAGAGTTAGAAGAGACTTTCAAGGTTTTTTTTTGACCTATTGAAGGTTTAGAAGTAATCAAAATATATATGTGAATTTTTCATTTTTATTTTAAATTATAAAATGTGCATTCTTCTAGAAACACATTTTTCAAAGAATTATTTCATTCAATAGATTGTGTACTTGTATCCTCTCCACATTAAACCTTGACAAATTGCGTCTTTGTAACTTGATCAGCCCCCCCAGGTTGATTGACTGATTTATTAACATACTTCCAACTGGACCCAGTGTGAAGTACCGCAATAAACTTTAATTTTAAATTATGAAATATCATCTCACATAGTTTACGCCAACCTTTAATGAAAAACATAAATTATGAAAATTTTCTATTTAAATCTTTTTGATGCCAAATCATATTATTTAATTTCCCCCGAAAAAATACATCCCTGTCATTTCTTTGCTTCATGTATCCGATTACTCATCTTGAAGTAATACAAGTAGTAATATCATAGAACACGCAATATATTGTAACATTACAAGTGGAAAACAAAATAAAATGATTTTTTGTAATTAAATTTTGACCAAATTATCAAAAAAATTATTGTGTAGAGTTAAACAAAAAAACAAGAAAATTTTTTTTCTGGCCAGCAATTGATGCGTTGAAGGTGAAGTGATGCAAACTCACGTTTCTACTAGGGTTTCTTTTTTCGAATTCAACTGTAAATAAAATAGATTTTTTAGAGATTAAAGGATGGACTCTTTCCTAAGCAAACTTTTAAAAATCCGCCCCCCCCCCTGAAGCTACTAAAATTTCAGTTAGGTTCGGTTCTGTCTTTCGACTACTGTTAATTATATAAAATATAGGGTCTGTCGGACAGTTTCGTAACGGAATTGATTCGGAACAGTTTAGAAAGCCTAGTTTCTACACATCTGTATGTAACCTAAATACTAGGAGTAGGATCTACAGTTGTATTTATATACTTCTCATTATTACATCTCAATACTCGTTAAAATACTTCCGGTGAAATGTTTTTAAATTTGCAATAACTCAGCTTTAGGTAGTTTTTTAAATAGTAATTCATTTTAAAGGAAATGTAGACGTTATTTCATGTGAGTTTTCATTAACAGTGTGGCATATGTCCAATTTACGATTAATATCAGTAATGAATCAGATAACTATGAGTTTCTCTTTAAACTTTTTTTTCACTATGGTTCCCATACAAATGTAATTTGCTAATTTCTTCCGTATAAAATTTGGGACAAGTTATCATAATTAACGCTTCAAGTTCCAAAAACGAAGATATCTCAGAAGATTGTTGTTCAGAGAAAAATGTGAAGTGTACTTTAATAATGTTTTTTATCAATCTTTAAATGAAAGATAACCCTGAAAAGACTTCAATCCCTTTAGTAAAACATTTAATTAGTTTCCAATCCTAAACTAAGGAAGCAAAACTAGTTTTGGACCAAAGCAGTATAAACTTTATACCCAATAAAACCTGGAAATCCTGAAGAGTAATTTTAACATAAAAGGACTGTCAGCAGTATTTCATGTGACCCTCTATGCAAAGATGCCTGATTCAGAACGGTATCCTTGAAACCTTTATCTTATCAATGATAGGGAAGATGTTCGTTTTTCTAGGTTTATCAGTATTTTATCCTGATAATTTTTTTTGTTTTCTGCAGTAGAAATGCAAGTCACTTTAGTAGAGAAACCACAATCGAAAATAATCAGTTTTTTAAATTGATATTTATTTCATACTTGATCAGACAAAGTTTTGAAGGATACTGTTGTGAATCGGACATTGCCACCTTTGCATGGGAGGGTCACTTGAAATTACGCTTACAGTCCCTTTAATTATATTTGGTAAAATAGGTTTCAAACTAATAAAATATGATACATTTTTGATTAATGATAAATGGCTCGTTATTTTGCTTGAATCGGACCGGATGAAAAAGTGTGGATTTAAATCCGGCTTCGTACTGAAATCTAAAAAATATTCGCACAATTACTGTAATTTTCTGAAAAACAAACCAGTTACATTATATTTGAAAAATATGTTTCTACCCATGTCCCTTAAAGTGCCTTGCTGTGTATCCCTTTAATATCCTTGCTGTGTTTCCCATTAATATCCTTGCTGTGTGGGGGGGTCCAAAATCGTTCTCTAGGACAGACCCATACTTTTTATTTAAATGGGGTTCTTGGGAAAGTTTTTATTTAATTATTGCAATTTTTGAATTTGTGATGGGGAGTGGAGAATGAAGATTTTAACTTATTTCCTTTCTTTTTTATTATTTTCTTTTCTTCACCACTTTCTAGACTTAGTATGATTGAAGTTATCTATAATTCTCATCATACTACATAACCTGACCAATATTCTTGTGTAATGTGTACCCCAACGGCGCGTAAAAACATGTCGACCACTGGCCTTGGGCATAATGTATACCAGATAATACGCATTTTCACCCGTGCGTAAGAAATGGTTTAGATTACTGACGCTTGTTTTTGTTCAGCTTTTTTAGTCAGTTCCCTCTACTTTTCAATTATTTAGATATTTGCTGAATTGGTCTAATTATAATTTAACCTTGAAATTGAAAGTATTTCCATGTATGAATATTATCTTAAAAATGTTATCTCTCCCTTCGATTCCTTTGAAACTCATTTTTTGTTGGACGACAGTAAGTATGGTTATCTAAATATATATCTCTAAAATGTTCAAACATTCTGAGGCATACTGAAACAGATTTATTGCTTAATTATTCTTAACAATATTCTGGATTTTGAATTCTTGTCTTCTTTGATCGATGAGCCCCTGTCCAAGCACGGTTGCATTGATATATTCTTGCTTGTAACATGACTCATGATAGGAATATTTTTCACAGATTTTAACGTGCCAACGAAGCAACCCATTTTAAGAGCACTGCGTCACATTATATCATGTTTTGGGCATACGCATTTTTTATAAGTCTAGCTACGCCGAGATCTTGATTTAATTGTTTTTAGATTGAATAGATAACTAAATACGGAACTAGATTGTTTTCCTTTAAGGCAGAAATAGAAAAATTCATTCATTTAGTTTTCTATTCATGCCTTGTATTCTTTAACTACTTTATTTAAAGCATAACATTTTTTTGTGGGAGGAGGGGGGGATGGGGTCATGTCTGTTTTGAAGATACAAAGCAGACAAAATTGATATTTCTTTTATTCAAGAACTTGAGACATTCAATCTGACTTCCCATTAATTTTCATATATCCTTGCTGTTAGTCCCTGTAATATCCTTTCTCTGTGTCCCATTAATATCCTTGCCGTGTTTCCCTTTAATATCCTTGTTGTGTGTCCCTTTAATATCCTTGCTGTTTGTCCCTGTAATATCCTTTTTCTGTGTCCCATTAATATCCTTGCCGTGTTTCCCTTTAATATCCTTGCTGTGTGTCCCTTTAATATCCTTGCTGTGGGTCCCTTTAATATCCTTGCTGTGTGTCCCTTTAATATTCTTGCTGAGTGTCCCTTTAATATCCTTGCTGTGCTTTCCTTTAATATCCTTGCTTTGTGTCCCTTTAATATTCTTGCTGTGTGTCCCTTTAATATCCTTGTTGTGTGTCCCTTAAAATGTGTTCTAGGTCCAAATGTATTCTAATTCTAAATGTGTTCTAGGTCCAAATGTATTCTAATTCCAAATGTATTTAAGTTCCTAATGTATTCTAATTCTAAATGTGTTCCAGGTCCAAATGCTTGAAGGATCCAAGACCAAGATCGAAATGGAGATGGCAGCTCTGAAGAAAGAACACCGGTATAAAATCATTAATATTATTTTCTCCTTTTCATATTATGTCTCCTCTTCCTCACCATCATTTTGCTATTTTTTTCACCTACTTCCCAATTTCCTACTAAATCACATTTTCCACCACTGCTTATATTCAATTTTTTCTTCAGTTTTTTTATTTATTAATAATTCCGTAGCGTACCTTAACCCCCATAGAACACTCCCCCCCCCCCCCCCCATCCTACAGGCCAAAATGTGGCCTGTGTTTCTCTGAATTACAATATTTTAGAAAAACAAACAAACCTTCCTATATATATATATATATACAGGGGTAAACATACCTCAAATTTATTATTTTACCTCGTTTCTTTTTCCAACCATCCTGAAATTAAAGATGACGTTATATTTAATTTTTGAAATTTCTTTGTCACTCCGATGTGTAATCAAGTTGTAGTAAATCTATGAAATGTTAGTTTAGTAGTAAGCGTACAGGTGAATAGTGATAAGATTGTACTTTCTCAAATTACTCACAAATATATTCAGTTTCATTATTTAGCAAACATTATTATTTTATATTTTATAAAATTACCCCCCTCCCTCTTTACAAGAACTCAATTCTTGAGTTTTATTGTAGGAAAAGAACCTTTTTTATTCTATAACACCAAGCAAAGCTAGAATTTTTGTTTCATGTTTATATAACGATTGTTGTTAAGGCGTGAAATGACAAATCGTGACGAGGAAATCGAAGAAGCTCGAGCATCAGCGAGCAAGAAGGTTAAAATCCTCGAACAACAACTCGAGCAGGTACAGTACTATATTTAAAGGGATCATTCATAAATTTAGGATCGCGAATTAAATTATATCTGCAAAGAATGTAGAAGAAAGCATTAAAATTAACGTTAACTAGGATTTTAAACGTATCGATCAACATATTTTAAGTTTTTCCTTTAAACTATTATTTTGTAGAGTTAGGCGTTGTTGCTGCCATTGCGAGAGATTTTTTAAAATGTGCGAAATAGTAGAATTATACAATATAATTTAGAAAAAGCAAACCTCGGGTTTCCCCCTTTCTCTTGGGTCGATATTCAAAGTTCGATAGAAAAATCGTGAATTCCCTTTTCTTATAGTTTATTTCCCCTTGTTTGTTGTTTCCAAACCAAACATAGAAATTACAATCAATATTTACCGGAGTGTTAATCTATCTATCTATCCGCAACAGCTGAGCGCTATTTGTGAAGCAACAGTACACTTTGTTTACTTGAAGTAAATACATTTACTCCTGAAATAAATTCAAAAAGAGTACAGGGTCGTTAACAGAATTTAATCTAGGGGGCCGGTGGACAGATTTTTAAAATAATTTAAGACTTATGAGGGACTTAGCTTCAGAAGTGCAGGCCCCCACGCCCTTGAATTTAAATATGAAAATTTCTATTGTTTAAATTTAAAAAAATGTTCAACTTTTTATTTTATTGAAATCAACGTTATGTAATTGGAACGCAATTCAGTTTTCTGTTTTTTCAGGAACACGAGGAGCGTATAATGTTTCTTAGAGAAAGACATGAACTGGAACAGAAGATTGGAACACTACAGGATATGCTGGAACGGTCAGGAGACGAGGAACAGGTATTTATAATATTTCACGGAACATCCATTGCAGGGGACCCAGCAGATTTGGGAAAATTAAACAAATTTTAAGCTTTTTACTTAAATTATTTTATTATTATTTTTTTTAATTCCCCTAACACTTCATAAGAAATTCAAAAAGTCTGGAGGAGAGTTTAGTGAAAAAAAAAACTTTTTTTTAATAATTAACCATAGGTTTTTTCCTTGTCTGTCTATCAAAAAAGTCGCACTTTTGGGTTTGGCTTGGCACATGGTTTTGTCCGTTTTTAGTACAAATACACATTAAATACAAGCAGTGAAAAGGGAAGGAAACAACTTAACCGTTTTTTAAAAGATGTTTGAAGATTAGAATATTTTAATCCAATTAAATTAAGGTTGCAAAGCTGAAAAAGGATTTGCGTAAGACTAAAGCTCTATTACGTGACGCACAATTGCTTGTAGAGAAAACACAGAACGAAGGAACCAATAAGGTTATCCTCAGACAACTTAAGAACCAGGTAACAGTCTATTCCGTTTTCATGTGTCCTCAGATCCAAACTTAAAGGGAGTGTTCGCGAAAAATGAAAGGGGGTATAGTCTTACGGAGAAAAATTATCGATGATTATCGCTACTTATCTTTCTTCTAATATGTTGCCTTTATAAGGAGAAATTTGTTAAAAACGACTGATACTGAAGAACGCAGAATACAAATGAATTCAGAAAGTTGCAACATACGACTCGGATCGTTTAAAAATTAATTTAATTCTTTAAAAATCATTCATATATTACAACCTTTAATCATCGATAATTTTTCGACGCATTCGTATATAGTTAATATTTCAAAATATTTTTGATTCACGAACACTCTCTTTAAAATAAGGTTTGGTTTAAAAACCTTTATTGGAAACTTGTGAAAACGAAGAAAAGTAATTTTGTGAATATCAATATTTTTGTTTAGAAATGACCTTCCATAAAGTAAACTTTTTAATAAAAAAAAACTTTCTTTTATTATCAAAAATTCACACTTCTTTCAAACATCTTATTTCGTCAATTTAAAGTTGGGAAAGGCATATATATTTGTAGCTTTGCTTAATTAGAATACAAAATTCACATTCGCATTATAATCCAATTCTAATAATAACTGCCAAAAAAAAACTTAATTATCCTTTTAAATTATTTCATTTTTTGATTACATCGTAATCTATCTATTTTTTTAATATATTATTTAATTTTTAACAGTGTTTCGGATCCGTATCATTTTGATGCGGATCCGGATCCGTGGATCCGCATCCGTGATGATGGATCCGGATCCGAGGTAACTTATTCTGTGAATCGGATTTTCCCTGTTAAATGTTATGCAAGGTTATAATTTATAAACTATAGTAATCCTAAAGTTAAAAATGTCGTCATTACTATTATATAAATGTAAACATTAAATTATTAAAGATAATTTTGAAAAATTTTCGTCATGTAAATAATACATTTACGAACCATTTTGATTTATTTATTCCATGGTTTTGGTTAATTTTTGGCGCTACCCGGATCCATATCAACGTTTCCTGATACGGATCCGGATCCGGATCCGACCAAATGATACGGATCCGAAACGCTGATTTTTAAACATATCTTTGTTTTAGCTCGAAGACGCAGAATTTGCTCGAACAGCTGCAATGAAAGCTCGCCAGAATGCTGAACTAGAACTAGCAGATACACAACTACAGGTATACGTCCTAGCAATAGCGCCGGAGTGTTGTAGTGTCCATGTTATACCTGAACTGAGGGCATTTTTGGTCAGAATTTGGGGTTATTTGGGGAACAAAGTCAATCCTTTGTGTAAATGTATATTGTAGCTTTATTACTAGGTTTAAAAACTAATAAATTGTAAATGAAAATGCGAGTTTTTATTTTTTAATATATTTTACCCAAAAGTAAATTTTCCCCGAATCTTCGAATTCACAACGTATGGGGGAAAGGGGGGAAATAATTTTTCAAGAAAATATACACCCCTGTGTTACACGTTCTGGGTTATTAGATCCAATCTATATACTCGATTTTATTGAATTACCCATTGAAGAGTGAACCACGCTGATACTCACATCATTCGTTTTTTTCATTAACTATTTAAGTTTATTAAATGATGTTTAGTTGGAGGATGTATCGAGGGCTAAGCAGGACCTGGAGGAGAAACACTTGAGAGTGTCCAGGGAGAAGGCAGAGTTCGCCAGCCAGCTCCAGGAGAACGAGGAGGAACTACAGGTGGGATCAAGGGGGCTGGATCTTAGCTACCTGTACGTGCATATTAGCCTGAGTGCACAATTAGGACCGTTTACTGATAAAGGATGTTAAAGATTATGGCCTCTTCATACAGTTCACACATCAAATATGCAGTACGCTTTCGGAGTACAAGTGTATTGGGAGGTTTTGTATCTTAAAGTTTACTGAGTTTTCTCAGAACCGTTTATTAACGATGAAATTTTGCTCTCTAAATGACTGTAATAGTACGTCTTCTTGTGAAAATGTAATCCTGCACACGATAAAAGAGCAGTGGATTCCAATAATTAAATGGAAAACAAATTCTCTTGCCGGAAAAGATCAGTTGAACTCGAGGAGAATTGAATACAAGGAGGGGGCAATAAGGTTTCTGTACACTTTGCTGTGACGTATTTGGACTGCAGGATAACTAGCTTTTGCGTAACAACAATAATAAAGGCAGTCGATCTAATGTAAACAAACATGAGTTAGTATACGGTGAATCTTCATCTAACGCCAGAGATGCACCAATTGTCTGTTTATCATTTGTGTTATTGTTTACAATCTTTATTATTGTTATTACGCAAAAACTAGTTCTCCAGCAGTCCAAATACGTCACAGCAAAGTGTACGGAAACCCTATTGCCCCCTCCTTGTATTCAATTCTCCTTGGTTGAACTACAGTCAAGTCCTGTAAAATCAGTTTAGAATTAGCGTACATCATCACTCTATTTACTTTAATTTCGTTGGGTGGGATACATGGGGGTTATAGTGTACACAGGAGGCTAAAGTGTACGCCTGAGGACAAGGATATGAAATACTTAGGGATTATTTTGTACATTGGGGGACATGGTGCATGAGGTTATGGTGTATTAAGTGTGTTATACTGTACAGTGTAGGGATATAGTGTACACTAATAGTTATAGTATACACATGAGGTTATACTATACTAAGTGAACAGTGAACACTGTAAAAGTCATTTCATTCTTTATTTTATTTTAACCTTGTAGTTTTTTTTGTGAACTCTTTTCTGTTTTACGTCTTCGTGATCAGCAAATTTGTTTGTTTTTAACTTCTCAAATTCTATTTTGATGCATTTAATTTGCCATTTTATAGCGCGGTCTTTCTTTGAAGATTATAAAGCTAGAATATGGTCTGTTTATTTCACAGGATTCTCGGTATTTTGAGATTACATGAAGTTTTCTAATTGGTCACATCTTGGAATTGCACAAATTTGAGGGAGGGGGGGGGGGGGTAAGAAGTTTAACTCGCCTTTTATTGGAAGTATCTAATCTCTGGTTGGAAAATTTAATTATTTATAATTATTAAGTTCATTAGCTGGTATAAAACCCTTCAAAACTCATTTTTTTTTGTAACGGGGGGGGATCTAGGTTGTGGGGCATTATGTGCTTTACCCTGTTGGAATTTTTTGTTGTGTGGCTTTGTGTGGCTTTTAGATCGCATACCAGAATTAAAGACCCACTAAGGGTTACATTGCAAATTGTAAACCCTGTGGTCATAAGATGTCCCTAAAAGATTGATTGATTGATTGTTTGTTGTACAGGATGTGATGAGGAAATACAAGGCCAGTGTAGCAGCAGTCTCCACAGACCAGATTACCATTCAAGACCAGCAAAGCACTATTCAGGTATTCATTAATTTATATATTTGATCCATTTTTATTAATTTTAAGTCATCTGTGTAAACTGCATAGTGCATAGTGGTTAGCCATAAATTTGTACACTTAATACAAATACACAAGTGCACTTTAAATTGTTATATTTTAAAATGCGATGTTCCTAATATTGAAAATGATCTTTTTACTAATTTTTTTTTATAGTTTTTAAATGTTGTCCAAGGGTTTTTCGATGTAAACTTTGATGAAATCCGATTCTGAGTGTTGTGGACTTTATTAAATTTGTTGGTGACTTTTCGTAGTTTTAAGAGAGGGGTATAAATTTATCTTGTTAAAAGAAGACACATTACAACGGTAACAAAAACCCCTTTTTCAACGAACAAATTCTGAAGATATCTTGAAATAAAATGCACATCAGATATTTTTTTTTCTTATTGCTCTATGCCCTATGGTCTAAAATTGTCCGATTTTTTGAGAATTTGTCTCATTTTAATTTCAGGGTAGAAATGACACCGTTGTCAGATGATATAATTTTAAATTGGAATAATTATTATAAAATAATATTTTGACGCATATTGTGCGTATTTTAGGAGCTAGAGGAGGAGAGGAATAAGCTACGTGACGCAGTTGCTGAGTTAAGTTCTAAGCTCGGAAACCTGGAGGGGGAAAATGTTTCCACTGCACAACACAAACGGTAAATAGATTAATCAAGGCAGGGCTTAGAATCCGATTTTTGGTCAAAACAATAACATAAGTTGTAAACAAAGGTCAGAATTTACTTGGGTCAGCAAAAAAAAAAGAGAAAAAATTGAACTTTCAACTCGATCAATTAATTATTTTTTTCAATTTCCAATAAAAATGGTGCATTTTCAAAAATAATAGATGTCGACATTTTGGGCGACAAATTTTATAAATTTGACCGTTCAAAACCTTCCCCGGGGTCCACAGATAATTTGGACCCAATTAAGCCTTTTTAACATTTTTTGGACACAGAGAGACATAGAGAGATGCCAGATTTATATTTAAGAAATCTAAAATAGTTCTCTCAAAAATATTTTTTCTGTGATTCAATAAATTCCTTTTTTTCTAAATTACCTTTGTGTGGTCTACTGTCCACTTTCATCCATTTCATTCCAGTGCTCTCAAATGTTTACTTATTGATCTCCATTTACCTCTAAATTACCTATATTTCCCATCTTGACCTCCATTTTCGACATAATGACCTCCATTTATCTCTAAATTAACTCCATTTCATTATATTGACCTTTATTTTCTACATAATGACCTTCATTTTCCCAAGAATTACCTTCATTTTCCTCCCAATGACCTCCATTTTGTTTTGTTTAGATTGGAGCTGAAGATACGAGAACTGGAGAGTAAACTAGAGTTGGAGCTGACCAGTAGGAGTAGACTAGAGACACAGATAGTCAGGTAGATAACTAGTGAACATTTTCAGGAGGGGGGATCTCCAGATGAACATTAATTTTTTTCTTATCTTCAAAAAAAATTATATTTCATGGTTCTTCATCACTCACGCGTTTTAATCCGGAAAACTAGCGAAATTTTTATTAAACTTATAAAAAAATTGGGGAAGGGACAGTATCCCCCCCCCCTCTTTAAATGTTAAATGTGCGAAAATAATTCCTCTTCCCCGGAAGAAAGGGGGGGGTGATATACCCCTGGAAAATGGGATCCTCCCAAGAATTCGTTTAGTTGCACAAAAACTTTAACTCAGTGAAAAACTTTCAAAATTACAGGAAAATTATATTACTAGATAATAAGTACCTAGCTTAGGAGTGATTTATTTCAATAGAATGTATCTACTATCAATCCCTTCAACGATTCCATCGTATATTATATGTCCATGCAATCGATATGGAACCATTATTAATCTGGTTCGTATGCGAAGTTCGAAAATACTTGAACAGTCCCTTTAAAACCAATAAATGCGTGTGCAGGTTGAAGGAGACTATTGAGAAGATTACTAAGGAGAAGGATGAGGCTAGGCTCCGTGAGCAACAGAGCAGCGAACAGATCAAGAAGCATAGCAGGCAGATCAGGGAGATGAAGGAGGACTACGTTACAGTCCAGGTTATTTTATTCGTACAATTTGGCAGATTTTATCCCAAGATGGCCGACTTCTCCCTTTTAAATTACTATTTTTGAATTATCTTTTCATTTAGGGTAAAGAAATAGAGTTGAGTCAAAAGAAGAATGATCTTGAAAAACAGTTAGAGGTAAGATTAAAAATATCCTCGCCCTCCTTCTGATTTTTGGATATTATCTCAGGAAACAATTTTAGTTTATTCAGAGGTCTATAATATTTTGACACTTATTTTTTTTCTCAAGTTTGATATGTTAGCACAAGGTTATAATCCAAGGAAAGTAATTGTAGTTGCGTATACTCTCCGTATATATTGAAACCAGTTTTCTCTGGGCGGAATTTGTAAACAAGAATAGATGCATCAGTGTTTGTTTAGTATCCGTGCAGGATAAAGCATTTAATTTTGATAATTTTGATAATTCACATAATAGTTTCCTATGACCAGAATATTTCATTGATTTTTTATGTAAAAGATGGATCCCATGTCAGGCTTCGACATCCGTCTTGTGTTTACATTACCGCCCAGAGACAGTACACTGCAGTACAAAAGATGCGTACACCTCTGAAATAACTTTTCTTTGCAGTATAGCCTAGTGTTTGCAGAGAAAATGAATAAATTGTAGGGTAAAACATATCAAAAAAGGATGGAAAAAATTGCCTTTTGAACTCCAATTTAAACTTTTTTTTTCAAAATTATCAAAAAAATCATGGGGTTCTTGAAAATTTCAGTGATTTTACATATATCTATTACAATAATCAAATAAACATGAAAATTATTACATCCAAGCTCAAAAAATCTTAAAAAGAAAAATACCAAGAAAAAATCGCAAAGGAAAAGGCAATTATTTGGGGAAAAGAAAAATAATATTATTTTTGTTTGAGTAAATTCTTATGAGTGAAAAAAGGTTTTCGCAGTATAAAGAATACAGATAAATATATTAATTCTCTAACCCTAAACCTATACTTAGGTTGCTGAGGCTGAAACTCTAACTGTGAGGTCGGACCTTAAGCTGGCCTTAAAGAGGATCGAGGACCTGCAGGCCGCCCTGGCAGGGGAGATGGATTCAGATAATTCAGATGATAATTCAGACAGGTATTTTATAGAAATATCAGTGCTAAGGATTTGAATCTAAGATCCGTCCTGATAATAAAATGGATTCTGGTCCAGGTCAGGAACATTTCTTTTAAATTTTCTGAATTTCTCCAACTATTTTTGTCTGTTAAAAAAGCAGTAAAAGCGGAGACAATTCTTCACCCCCTCTCACCAACAATTATTGTCGCTTCAGCTTCCGACAATAAGCAGTTACTTCATGTGATGAGTGTACATTGCGACATTTTCCGTTTATTGGAGAGCGTCCAGAGTATTTAACCTTAATAAACAACCTTGATTTGAATCCTGTCATTAAACATTGAATAAATGTTTAACTTCTAATCACTCATAAATCCATCTTTTTATTTTTGGGCAATTTTTTTTCTTTACTGAAGTTTATTTCCGGCATTTGAAAACTAGGTTAAACAATTTTAGCTTAACTATTTTTCAGACAAACGTTTTTACTTATATTTTGTTTTAGTTCCGATGATGAGATGCACAGTTTCATGGAACACCACCGTCGAGCCATGTCAGTTCAACGGGAGCGGGAGTCCATGGCTCGGGAGTCAATAGTGCGGGAGTCCATGGCTCGGGATTCTTCAATCCTGCGGGAGTCAGTAACGCGCGAGGTCCGATCCAACGGTACCAGAACCTTTGCCTCCATAGATGAATCCCGAGAATCCATGTAAGTTCAACTTCATTCTCGTAGATCCATCCATACTTGATAAAATATATGAATTCTTTTTCAAAATCTTTGTTTTCAGATCAATGGACGCGTCAAAACTTTCTTCCACAATTGCTGAGATTGATGAATCACAAGCATAGTTAGTGTATGGAGCAGGGTCACCAGGAGCGGGAGATCATCCAACCTATTCCTAGGACCAGACATATGATACTACTGGTGCAGCAGCTTATCTGTGATTCAAAATGGCGCCAGATTCAAAATGGCGGATTGGTAAAATCTGCAAAACCATGCCACAAAAATCCGCAAAATGGCGCCGATTCTTTGTCGTTTCCTTCTTTTTGCTACGGCATGCGTGTTACAGGATTCAGGATTTTTTGGATCAGTGTGACTTGGAGTTATATCTTTGTGTATTTGTTATTTTGTAAATGAAAAATCTGTCAGTAGATCAACATGTTGCATTCTAAATATTTTTGACAATTTGCCATTATTAAAATTGTAAAATGATTGTCAACTAGTTTCGAAATATTTTAACTTATTAACAAAATGTTTTTTTTTAATGAAGAAATTGTCCCGTAATTCTAACAATGCTTCACGTGTCACGCCCATGCTGATTCCCTTTAGTCTTTTTTTGCGGGGGTTTCCCATGGGAAATTATAAATATAGATATATTGATAAATTAGGAATTATGTAATAAAAGATTAAATTAATATTTGAAATTTTAAGAAGATGAGAAGAGATTCAATTTACACGAACAGATTTTTGTTGCTTTATATTTGTTAAATGATTCATATATTACTGTGGGTTATTCAACAAATATTGCTTAAAACTAATGTAATATGTTGAAGATTCTTTTGGATGATAAAAATACTTGTGGAGTAAAAAACATTCGTAACTGAAATATTGTGCAGATCATCCAACACTTGCAGGTTTTATGGAAGAAAGAACCCCTTATTTATTTTTGTTTAATTCTAAGGGTTCTATAATGTATTTTATTTAAGTTTTTCTGTTGTTAAATAAGCCGAAAACAGTAAAAATTTTATTAGGGGCATACATACAGTACAGGGTGTCCTATGACACATGACAGTTAGTAAATAGTTCAGAATGTCTTGTTCCAGAATTTTTTATGTTGTTCAATAGGAAAGACGATAGTAAAAATATTATATAGGAGTCATATGATAGTAAAATTAGTTTCTAATTAAAATATATTTGAGCAAGAGATTTATTTAACAAAGTAAAGTAAATATCCAATACAGTTTAGGGAAGACGACATTTTAAACTATTAACCAACTGTCATGTTTCATGGGACACCCTGTATTAGATACAAACTTACCAATTAACAACAATAGTCACGTCATACTAAAGCAAATTACACGTTGAATTAAAAAAGTAAACGTATTGAACATCTCATAACTCTTCTGAAAGAGGTATTTCAGAACAATAAAAATGTAATGTTTCTATGTAATGAGATCATACTTAAGCGTAAAATTCAAACTAGATTAAGAGGCCGCAAAGTCCTACAAGTAATGTTGCATAAATTTAAACTTTTGCCTCAGTGTGCAGTGAGACCAATAAACAGGATTAAGAAGACGACTGATAGACTCAAGTTCTGGTTTTAAGAAGTGCAATGAACAAGAGCGTCCCGTGTCATATTTGATTATCTCCAATCTTAACGCACATAATACTCGAAAAATCTATTTTTTCTGCCAACAAAATTTTTTTTATTAAATTTTTTAAAATGATTCATTCTTCTTAAATTTTCTGATTTGTCCCTCACAACGATGTACACAAATTCATTGTGTAAATTGAATTGATGCCATATTAAAATCTATGTTATTAAGCTCTTAGCTCATTTCTATGTTTTCTATAGCTAGCCAATAGCTCATTTCTATGTTTGCTATAGCTAGCCAAATTGGCTGCAATTTTTTAGAACCAAGGATAACAAACGCTAAAAATATTTATGAAATTTTTCCATCCACGGGCAACGCCAAGCATTTCAACGAGTATTTAATAAATATGATACTGCTTAGTTTTCTCACTGTAAGAAATCATATATAGCTATCGAGCAGTCCGTGCAGAGCTTCAGAACATACAAAATAACCCAGATTTAGTTTAAGGGAATGTCAGCTAAATTTCAAGTAGCCTTCCAATTAAAAAGGAATATCCCCGATATACCACAATACCCTTTAAACCTTATTGACTGAATATCCCCGATATACCACAATACCCTTTAAACCTTATTGACTGAATATCCCCGATATACCACAATACCCTTTAAACCTTATTGACTGAATATCCCCGATATACCACAATACCCTTTAAACCTTATTGACTGAATATCCCCGATATACCACAATACCCTTTAAACCTTATTGACTGAATATCCCCGATATACCACAATACCCTTTAAACCTTATTGACTGAATATCCCCGATATACCACAATACCCTTTAAACCTTATTGACTGAATATCCCCGATATACCACAATACCCTTTAAACCTTATTNTTGGTATAAAATCTTGTTTTCAGAGATTTTAATTTTATGCATTTTTGGAGACATTATTGGGGTTTCATGGCATTGACTTGGTTTTCAGATTGGTTTGGTCAACAAAAACTGAGTTAACGATTTAATGTTACGCGCTTTTTTTGTCTGATTACCAATTGAGGTGGTGGAGATTACCAATTGAGGAGCGCGCATGCCGCAAAACCCGTTTGGTTGGCGGTGATTACTCATTGAGGACTTCTGCACTCCCTCCCTGATCCGTCAAAGATTTAAAGGAACCGTTCGATGTCGCCTTCTTTAATCGAAGATCTCTTTAAATTACTTTTAATATTCTATTTAAGAAAATCTGAAAACAATAACTTGAGACAGCATTGTTCAATGTTCATAACCTGCAAAGATTTTAAAATTTTAAAATTATATTTCATCAAATTCTATCTAATTTCGCACAAAATCAGCAAATCTAGGATTTTTTTTTTTGCTCTTTGGGTTTCTTTTTAGTTTCTTTTTTCGCCTTACTTGCTTTTTTACTCTTTGACTTTTTCTTCTTCTTTTTGCCTTTAGTTTTCTTCATCTTTTTTCTTTTTGTTTTCTTTTTCTTCGTCTTTTTCTTTAGTTTCTTGTTTCCCCAGAGTACATCCATAGCCTCGCCGAACAGCTTTTGTTTTCCATCCAAATATGTTAATGGCTTCTTCTTTTCAAACTTGTCTTTTGGGCATATCCTAAAATCTTGAGTATAGTCATATCGAATTCTATTTTTTTATTGCTTTTTCTCAACTTTATGTTAATACGAATTTAATCTTTTTTTACTTTCAGTAAGTCTTTGCATGAACTTATATTTGTAATCCCTATTGTTTTTATCTGATGGTGTACACCTCTGATATTTCAAACTAAGGTATTTTTAGCTAACAGAATTCATAGTTTGAAAAGACGTAATTGACACTGGCCGTTGCAAAGACATGGATTAGAAAATCAGAGTTTGTGGCAAAGATTTATTGGCTTTGTGAATAGATTGAAAGGATTTTATTTTGTAATTTGAATGAAAACTTCGATATTAAACGAACAGCTAATTAAGATTTCGTAAATTGTCTGATAGTTGCATTCGTTGATTTCTAAACTCGAATCTTTATGCATCACGGGCAGCCGTAGTACATTTGAATTTCCGAGTCGGGTCAACCTTTCCGGTTCCAGTTTGTACTGTGCCTGCTCTATGGACAGGACTAGCCGGTGCAACAAGGTTGACGCGGTCCGACTTTTTGCTTCATACAGGAATTGAATCTACTTTTACTGAAGAGGCAGAGGTGCGAGGTATGCATTAAATACATTTAATACAGGAGTCATGTGAGGACCCAAAAATCTGTTCGTCTCTTTGTTTCAGTCGTTCTGACGCAAATTTGATCCAGACAAATTAAATATTCATAGAAAGGAATCAAGTCTTTGCCACTAGTGGCGGCCATAAGGGGGGTTATTGGGGTTATTTATGAGTTTGTAAATCCCAGAAATGAGTGGAAAATGCAAATCAAACCCGATTAAAACCAATAATTTGATATACATCATGATATTTTTCTAGGGGGGGTAAAAAAAAATTCGGCTCGCTTCGCGCGCCAAATTCAAATTATTTACCCCCCCTACAGAATCCTTATGTCCGCCCCTGTTTGCCACAAACTCAAATATTCGAATCAATTTATTTTTTCACCTCCATCATGTAAACTTTCAATTTAGATTAATTGATCTGACAGAATTCATAGTTTGAAATATATCTAAGGTCTAGGTTGAATATAAAGGGATTAGAAATCAGAGTTTGTTGCAAAGACTCAATTCCTCTATCAAAATATTATTGGAACACACCTTTATACAGGAAAGAAGCAGGATTTTCAAATCAAAATATTTTTGTCGGAAAATTATATTTTTACCTAATGTTTGGATATTTTCTCTTCTTACATTCTTCCTCTGTTTCGTCTGTCTAAACAAATATATATTAAAGTTCTTGTTCATTGTTCCTGAAAAATATATATTAAAGTTCAAGTTCTTGTTCATTGTTCATACAAAAATATATATTAAAGGGCAAGTTCTTGTTCATTGTTCATGGAAAATGTATATTAAAGGATGTTTCAAGTTCTTGTTCATTGTTCATGAAAAATGTATATTAAAGGATGTTTCAAGTTCTTGTTCATTGTTCATGAAAAATGTATATTAAAGGATGTTTCAAGTTCTTGTTCATTGTTCATAAAAAATGTATATTAAAGGATGTTTCAAGTTCTTGTTCATTGTTCATGA